CCGTCCCCAGGGCGGCCGCTGCTCCCGCCCTCCAGTGGCCCGGGGCGGGCGTGCTGCAGCAGGCCCCGCGTGGTGCTGAGGTGAGGAGGCCGGCGGGAGTCCCGGCACGGGCGGGGAGAAGTCAGCAGCAGGAGGCGCCTCGGACCCCAGGGCGGGGGCCGCACCGGGGCCCCCTCCCAGCCAGGTGGGTGGTCCAGAGGTCCCAGGGGCTGCCCGCGGTGCCCAGTGTCCCCACGGCAGCCTCCTGAGTGAGAAGAGCCTCCCGGAGACCCACCTACACCCGGGGGGGCTCCCTGCTGCCAGCAGCGTCCCGAACCCATGCCCGTGTTGCCCCGCAGTGCAGAACGGCACCCCGAAACCCGCGCCAGAGGCAGGGAGTCGGCGCGGTGACGCTGGCGGGGGAGCAGCACATGAATCGTAGCTGCGGGCGGGGAATATCAGGTGCATCTCTACGCCCCGAGGGCCCGACTCCTGCCCTTAAATCCCGCCCACCGCGGCGGAGGCTCCAGTTTCAGCGAGCGCGCGCGTGAGAACAGGTCCTCTCCAGCCAGCCGCCGCCCGCAGCCCGGCCCGCAGCCGCCTCTGGTGAGTACGGCCGCTTCTTCTCAAACCCCAGCTTCCTCCCAGGCCCCACAGGCCCCGGAGCGCGCAGCCCCGCGCCCCCCACTGCGCCCCCCACTGCGACTGCGGGTGGCAGGTGCGCCGGAGCGCCAGGCTCTCTGCTCTCAGGCCGGGAACAGGTTTATCTGGAAGTGAAGTTCTTGTTTCGACCATAAAATTTAAACCAAAACTCAAATTTTTACTATTGCTTATCTGCTCCTTAGCTTAAAATAAACTTCGGTAAACGTCAACATCAAAGCAGCAAGGACGACACAAGCTTTTACGTGTAGGATCAGCTGCTGTTGTAATTTATGATTTCTTTAACTCTAAAATCTATTGTTTTAAAGAAAGCACTTTTCTGATATAAGCGTGCCCCCCCAGAGACCTCAGCTGGACCGGCGCCGCACGCGTGTGTGTGTGTGTGTGTGTGAGTGTGTGCTTATTTACTTACTTAAGGGGCTTCTTCCCTCACAGAAAGTGCCTCAAGCCTGTGCGAGAACAATTACTGACCCAAGGCAGACTTGGCTCAGACAGAGCCTGCCTGCGTCTGTTAGGCTGATTTTATGCCGTGAGCAGAGCCCCGACCTCCGAGCCCGTCTGTGGGGACCACGGCCGGTGCCCGGGGAGGGCCAGGGCGGCCAGGGGCAGGCCGGGGACTTGGGCTCCGGGGCTGAGGAACGTCCCAGCTTGTCCTTCCGGGTCCACCCTTGCAAGTTCTGTTTGGCCTTTCTGGGAGTCCTTCCGAGCTCCTGCCCAGAAAGCTGCCACCTCCTGGGTCATGGCTGTCCTGAAGTTTGTCCTTCACTTTAAAGAACCGAAAGTCTGGGAGGGAGTGGTGGTTAATCACTGGAAAAGCTCAATTGGAGTAAAACTCACAAATCTCGTTCTTGCGACACCCCGGTGGGTAGGTGACAATGGCGTGTCCTTGGGTTATGCAATGACGCCACATCACAGCGCTGTAATTAAGGCATGCCCTTCAAAGCGCTGTGCTGCCGGGCTCCGGGCCAGGCAGCTGGACACACGGAGGAGCGTCGCGGCCGCGCACTCGCCCGCCTGTCACATCCCGGCCCATAAAGTGAAGCCGTAATTACCTCCATTGTGTCCTACCGGAGTCCAAAAAGCCTCCCCCCGCCTGCTTTCCAGAGCCAACTCCTCAGGAGCTTTTAACACACGCCGGCCACCCTCGCTGGCCCACCGCCGGCAGCCGTGCTGGTTGGCGTGAACCCCGGGGACCTATCAGGAGCCGGTGCCGGGGCCCCAAGCCCCTCGAAACGGGCAAACAGAGCCCGTGGCCGAGTGAAACCACAGGCTGTTCAAGGTGTCGTGGGGGCAGGGTGCCCGCCGGCCCGCCAGGAGCCAGAGGAGCCGGGCCAGGAGGCTCTCGGCCCTCGCAGGAGCTGGCCAGCCGCAGACAGGCAGGGGCTGGATCGCGGGGCCAGATGCGGCGCCAGCTCCTCTCAGGCCAGCCGACCGCCCCTGCTCGTGACAGCCACCTCTGACCCCGCCAGGGATGGGGCCGGACGTGGGGGCAAGTGGGAAGTGAAAGGAAGGGGCGAGGAGAGAGCTAACTTCTGAACTGTGAACCAGCACAGGGGATCCACGAAGCCAGCCCTCGAGGGCCCCGCCCTGGGGCAGCACCCGAGGTGGGCACAGGGCTGGGGGCCTCAGCCCGTGCAAGCAGCTCAAGCCCCAGGCGACCCTGCTCTGGCGGCCACAGACTCTCTCCAGGATTCTGACCCCGGCAGCTGCCCAGGAGCAGGTGCCTAGCAGCTGCGGGCGGAGACGTCCGAGCCCTGCCCACAGGCGGCTGGCAGCGCCCCGCACAGAGGCCGCCGCCCTCGGGAGCTTACAGAAGCCTCCACCTCGTCCCACTCGCCCTCTGACTTTGCTGCGTCTTTACAGCCCAGGGAACGGCGCCGTCTCCCGCGGCCTCCTCAGCAGCCCCATCTCCTTCCTAATGAGCAAACGGGGCTACCCTGAGGTCGGTTTACACAGTCGCTGGAGGCACCGCGCCGGCAGACTTGCCCCCAACACCAGCACCCAGGGCGCCCCCCGCCCGGGGTCAAGGAGCCGTGCCCCAAAGCAGCCACTTTCCTCCTGCGAGCTGACACGGGCAGGAATCCAGACAGACACCCGGGGGCCGCTGACACAGACGCGGCCCCCCGACTTTCGGGCGACCCGCCCAGCGGGCGCAGGGCGGCCTCCCGGCCCCTGCGGGGAGGGACTGGGCCGCGCAGCTGCTCTGCGGCGCGCGCCCGGCTGGCGGGGCTGCTCTGCGGCCGGTGTCGCTGAGGCTCGGGCTCGCACTTGATAAACGTTTTGCCACTGTCATCATTTTGATCACGGCGCTTGCAGCGAGTGATGAAATCACCGTTTCAGATCTCTGCCGTGACATATCCTGCACAATCCTGGGAACCTGACTCGCAGAGGTTCTCACGCCTTCAGGACCGGGAGCCGGACGTGCCGGCACAGGCCCGCTGACTCACCGGCTGGCCCGGCCGGGCTGGAGGCGCTTCCTGGGGGCGAGGAAATCGGGCACTGACGGAAAGCCGGGCGCGCCTGCCCCCCGCAGTGGGGACTGAACTCAGAGCACGCTGCGAGCTTTTCCTTTAATAAGAGGGGAATTAGAAGGAGGCAAAGCTGTGATTACGTGTTTTATTTGCGGCTGTCACTCTGCCTGGCACCCCGGCGGCTGCGTGGTGGGAGAGGAGGGGCCGGGAGCGACACCAGGCCGCCGCCCAGCTGCCCCTGAGCCTGAGGCCGCCCGCCTCGCCGGGTCATAGGCAGCCAGAACCTCACTCTCCTGCAAAGTGCCTGCCCAACCGGGCCCTGCAGAGGCCGCTGGGGCGACCTTTGTGCCCAGGCGCCTCAGAGGCTTCTTGAAAAGAAATGGAGGACAGCAGGGGTAGGGGTCGGAGTGTGCAGCGGGACGGCTGCCTCGGCACCACGGCACCCGAGCGCCCCTCCTCGCTCTCCAGCAGGTTTGGTCTCTGGGCAGGTGGGCTGCAGGTGGGCTTGGCCTGATCCCGAACTTGACCTCTGACCTCCACAGCCCAACGCTGCTGTGGCATCATTCTGATTTCACTTTACTTTCAAGCTGGCTTGAAAATATTGAAAAACGAAAGAGCTTTTCTTTCTTTTTCCATTTTTATGCAAATGAATGCCTGGGCCTCCGTTCCTCACCTCCCTCCACACACCCCCACCTAGTCTCCCTTGGAAGTCAGTCCTGCCGGGGCTGGGCCCCAGATCCTACTGGGGGGGCCCCAGATGCTCCCGGGCTCCCAGCTCCAGGGCAGGAGGTAGAGTGAGCCCCAGGGATGCAGAGCCGCCTCTGAGGAAAACCCGGGCCAGGCAGGGTGCAGGAGCAGGAGAGGGGACACTCTGAGGAGGTATCTGGAAGGCCAGACACACCTGCAGCCCCTGGTGTGCCCCAGGGTCCTGCGGGAGATGGCCACAGACTCCACTGGCCACTCCATCCTGCCGGTCACCTGCAAGGGTCTGAGGGGTGTGGTGGGAGGCCAGGATACCCGGGGCCTGCATCCCTGCAGATGACAGGAGCGGCGCCACCCCCCCCCCCACCGACCACCCCTAAACCAGGCAGCCTCACTCTGGTTGCTCTCCTTGCAACCAGGGGTGCAGGCTTGGTTCTGCCCTGGGGAGGAAAAGCCAGGAAAGGCAGGGGCCTGGTCGGCCATGCCCTGCTGTCCACACCTGACGGGTGGCGAGTGCGTGGACAGCAGACGCAGGCCGTGCGGCAGGGGGGGGGGGGGGGGGCGGGTCAGTGGCAGGGCTAAGACATGCTGGGCGACACGCACGCCATAGCCGCGCTCATGTCCACGTCCACGTCCCCACTGGACACCCACCTGCAGACACCACAGACCGGGCCACACGCACGTCGGCTCCCGGGAGCCCCAGGGGCATCAGGGCGCAGTGCCCACTCTCCACAAGCTCCTGGGTGGGCCCAGAGGGCACAACCCTCCTGACCTCTGAGGCCTCGGATGGCAGGATGAAGGTTCTCAGAACCCAGAGGATGGCAGATGAGCCCAGGCTGACAGGAGACACTGCACATGCTGCGGCTGGCACCCCAGGCCACGCCCTCGGCCGGCTCCAGGGGAAGCCCGGGCCCAGCAGGGCTGGCTGCGGGGCGCACGCCCCGAGTGGGCCAGCTCCGGGATGCCGGCCCCTTGCCCTGGCCCCTGACCCCTCCCCAGTGTGCGAGGCCCTGTCCGGCCCGGCCCTGACCCTGCTCTCTGCCCTCCATTACAGCTCCTGGCCGTGGGCCTCAGCAGGAGGAACACCTGGGAAGCAGGAGGAGTGGCCACAACAGGACAGGCAGACGCCCCCAGGCAGCGCCCAGGAGCGGGCCGTGAGCACAGAGGGGACCAGCGCCCCCCGGAAAGATGAGTCTCCTCAAGGAGCGGAAGCCCAAGAAGCCGCACTACATCCCCAGGCCCCCCGGGAAGCCCTTCAAGTACAAGTGCTTCCAATGCCCCTTCACCTGCAACGAGAAGTCGCACCTGTTCAACCACATGAAGTACGGGCTCTGCAAAAACTCCATCACCCTGGTGTCGGAACAGGACCGCGTCCCCAAGTGCCCCAAGTCCAGCTCCTCAGACTCCAAGCAGGCCCACCCGCCCGACCCCACGGCCAAACCCTCCCCCGCCAAGGCCCCCACGGGTGGGCTGGCCCCACTGGACGCCAAGCTCCGGGGTCTGGCCGCGGATGAGCTCAAGGAGAGCTTGGAGCTGCAGGCGCGGGGGCCCCCCAAGGGCCCGGGGCCCAAGGCCACCCTCCACAGGGACGCGGCAGCCCCGAGCCCGGGCCCCGAGGCCGTCATGGGCGCCCAGCCTGTCCTGGACAGCACAACCCGGCCGTCAGCGTTTGTTCCTGTGGGTGAGCACAGGCTCAAGGGGCCGGAGCACGCCGAGGGCCCCGAGATGCTGGCGCTGGCCGGGCCTGCTGCCAAGGCTGCCTCCTTCCACGCCAAGTCGGCGTTCCACACGCCCGGCTACCCCTGGAAGACCGGCGCACCGTTCCTCCCACCTGACTTTCCGCATAAAGTCTCGTCGGCAAAGGGGTTCGGGGCCATGTCCCCGTTCCTGCACCCCACCATCCCAGAGTACCAGCCCCACTTCTACGCTGAGCACGGCCTGGCCACCATCTACTCGCCCTACCTGCTGGCCGGGAGCCCGCCCGAGTGCGACGCCCCTCTGCTGTCGGTCTACGGGGCCCAGGACCAGAGACACTTCCTACCCCACCCGGGGCCCATCCCCAAGCACCTGAGCCCGGCGCCGGCCGCGTACGACCACTACCGGCTGCTGCAGCAGTACCACGCCAGCCTGCCCCTCCCCTACGGCTTCTACAGGCCGGACTCGGCCTTCTCCTCCTACGGCCTCCGGCTCCCGGCCGGCACCGGCGTCACACGAGAGCACGGCTCTCATCTGCTGGAGGAAGCCGCCCTGCTCTACCCGGCCTCCAGCCCGCCCAAGGCAAGCCCTTCCAGCGCCCACAAGAAACACACAGAGTTCGAGAAACAAAGCCCGACCCCTGAGGCGAAAGACCCTTCCAAAGACGGGCCAAGGGCCGCGGAGGGGGCCAAAATGAGTCCACGCGCCGGCAGCGCGGCCACGGGCTCCCCGGGGAGGCCGAGCCCCACCAACTTCACGCAGACCAGCCAGCCGTGCGCAGGGCCGTGCGGGCTCGCGGACAAGCTGAGCATCGGCGCCCCGGGGCGGCTCCACCAGCCTGAACACAGCCTCGCTGGCCCCCCCCACGCCCAGGCGCTGGCCGGCAGGGCCGGGTCGCCCACGAGGTAGGAGCGGTTCGCGTCCAGCCCTCCCAGCGCCGTCCAGCGCTTCCCAGCGGCTTCCTTCTCTCCCACCACGGCCCTCAGGCCGCCCCAGCAGTGTGCGAGCCGGTGCTGCCAGGTGCTGCCAGCTCGCCCGCTCAGAGCCTCGCTTGCCCCCTGCCACGTGACTGTCGTCACTCTCTGGCTTGCTCCCGTGCGAGGCTCCCCGCACGAGGCCCCGCCTCAGGCTGGCGCTCTCCTGCTCCCCTTTCCCGGGCACGGCCCCCCTCACGCCAGCAGGTCTGCGGGAGTCAGCGCTTCCAGGCTGCACCCGCCACAGGTGACACCGCGAGAAGCGGGAACCCGGGCGGGCACGCTGGCACTCCTTGGGGGGAGTCCCAGGCGGGGCCCGCGGCAGCCCCACTTCCAGTCCTCCGCGGTCAGTCCAGAGGGCCGCCCTGCCGGGCGGAGGCCCCCTGGCTGCACGCACCCTGGTGCCGGGCGGCGCCCTCAGCACGGGTCTCACCAGCTTTCTCTCTGCCTCCCCAGCCTCGATGCGGCAGGTGCCGACGCGCCCTTCCGGCCGGGCAGCGCCTCTCCGGACGCGGAGGCCGCACCCCCCAGCCCAGAGGACAGCTCCAGGATGGCCCCGCTGAACCTCTCCAGGAGACCGGAGACGATGCCTGCGGCGGCACCCGACCCCGGGGCGAAGACCCCACGGAGCTGCAGGACGTGCCCCTCAACCTCTCCGTGAAGGACCCCTGCAACGCCCGGACCCCACGGCCATCTTTCCACAGCCCGCCCCGCACCGGGGTGGCGCCAACGACCGAGGCCGGGAGCTCCGGGGAGGCACCTGGGCAGCCCCGGGCAGCAGGCAGCAGCCCCGACGCCGAGGCGGCACCCACCCCATGCGCCCCCCAGGGGGCCCCGGAAGCGCGGGGGGCGGACAGCAGCGACGAGCAGAAGCAGACAGCGGCCGTGGCCCTCTGCCAGCTGGCGGCCTACAGCCCCGGCAACGCCCGGCCCGGTGACGGGGAGCCCACGGCCCAGGGGCCCCGGACGTGCCCAGCACCACGGAGCGCCAGGAGGCGCCGAGCGTGCTCAGGGCCAAAGGGCAAAAGAGGACGAGTCCAAGGGAGGCAGGAAAGGCCCAGCAAGGCCCAAAGCGGGCAAAGCCACACGGCACGGCCAGGGTGTTCACCCTGCGGAAGAGGACTCGGGTGTCCTAGGGCACCTGGCCAGGTTGCTGCTTGAGGGCACCTCACGGCGTGGCTTTTCTGGAAGACCACAGAAGCCGGCGCTGCCCGGGAGGTGTGTAAATAGTGAGCATGCGTGTAAAGGTGCTCGGCCTCCCGTCCGTGAAAGTGCAGGAAGGGCGGCCTGGGAAGCTGACCAGGGCCGTGCACCCTGTTGGGGGGTGGGCAGGCAGCCGCGAGGCGACTCCCCTCGTGCGCCGCCATGGAGGACGCCTCCCGGGCCCTCTGCTGCGAGGTGTCTGCTCGGGACCAGGGGCTCCGGCCTCCCCGCGGTGAGCAGCACTGACCGACCACAGGGCCGGCCCAGCCCCGCGTGACAGAGACTCGCAAACGCCAGGGGCTATTTATGCCGTAATTTATTTCCCCAAGGGAAAATACCTTCTGGTGAAGGGACCATGATGTACCCTGCTTCCCCGTAATGCTTCATGACTCTTGTGACCCCCGCAGCCCATCTCCACCCCCATAAACGGTGTCTGTGTTGCTGCCATCCCTGCACCTCGCAGGAGGACTCCGAGGACCCCGGAACAGAGCCATGTGTACCGCGTCCTGCCCCAATAAAGATGCTGGATGACGAGGTGTCCAGAGCCGAGGTGGTGCAAGCACACTGGTGGGCATGGCTCCGTCCCCACGGGATCCAGCACAGGCCGCCCCGCTGCTCGCAGACCCTGGGCTGGGGCCAGCGGAGAAGGCCCAGGCCCAGCAGCCGAGAGGCCGTCCTCCGCGGCACCCGTGGCCCTCTCACACCAGCCTTCTGTCCCCGCCCTCGCCAGCACAGCTCCTGGGGTGCCAACATGGCCAGCGAAGAGGCTGCTGGGCCAGTGGGCAGCCCCTCACCTCAGGGGAGACCCGAGAGCGCCCCAGCCTGCAGCCCCACGGGGGCGTGGCCAGGGCCTCAGCATGGAGTGCCTAGCACAAGAGCACTAGGCTGCGGGGGCCTAAGCCAGAGCCCACCTCGGAATGCCTCCCCCAGAGCAGCGTTGTCCTGCCGACACGCTGCTAGTAACGGACTTCTGGACAGCTTCACCTAGAAAAATAGTTGCCCAGACCCCGTGGCCACAGGGACCGGGACAGCTTCCCGCGTGGACTCCCTTCCCTGAAGGCATGGCCGGGCCCGTGGAAGGCTCTCTGGGCCAGGCAGGGCAGCCCCTGCGGACAGTCCACACACTGGGCCCACGGAGAGAGGGGCAGCGGGTTTATCCTGCTGTAGGATGTGGGGTAGGCACAGCAGGACCCAGACAGACGTGCACGTCACACGAACCTGACACAGCTGCTGATGCAGACTCAGGAGGGCTGCGGGGCACGTCCCTTTAGGGGGAGCTCGAGGCCCTGTCCAGAGCCCTCCAGGGTTAAGGCTGCCTGTGCCCCAGGAGCTGCACCCAGGAGCGTGCCCGCCCCACCACCAAGCAGGCCATGGGTGCACGCGGGCTCCCTCCCACCAGCTCCTTGGTGTCACGTGCCACATGCGCTTTGACAGAGGACAAGAGGGTGCCCTGCGTTCTGGGCGTCAGCACCCCACAGGAGGCGAAGGCTGGGGGAGGCGACACCAGCATGGTCCCAGAGCCCTGCACCCGCAGACAACCCCCATCCTGACCCAGAGCACAAGCCCTGAAATTCCCACAGGCGCATTTTATGGCACAGCCAGAAGTGGCGGGAGGAAGCAGGACAGTCGGCCCCAAGAGCAGGCGCTGCCCGGAGTGAGCCGAGGATAAGCGGTCACGCCGCAGCCTCCGCACGTGCCACACGGAGCAGCCCCGAGCCATGTGCTCTAGACAGAGAGGTGCACGCAGGGGAGCCGCTTGACACGAGGACCCTGGGACTGAGGAGGTCCTCTCTTAACAGGCTGCAGTGGCCATGGCCACCCATCCCCACCGCGGTCCAAACTCAATCCAATGCCACCCCCACAGGCGGGAAGCGGGTGGGCGCGATACGCCTGTGGCCTCCAGGAGCAGAGACGTCACCACAGAAACAGGGTCTCGACCCTGCACTGGGGACACTTCCCTTCAGATCCATGACCTGTGGCTCAGGCCCCCACAGGACCTAAAATCCAGAGCAGGCGGACATGAGCAGGGCACCCAAATGCCAGGGCCAAGGTTCATGGGCCGAGGGGAGCAGCGAGGCCAGAGGGCAGGGTCCTGCAACCCGACAGCCGCGCCACGGCTGGGCGCATAGCAGCCAGCCGGCACCGCCCTCCCTGGGACCCCGCACAGGGACTGATAGGGCCCCCTCCTGAGCCCCTGCCCTGCAGGCAGCACGTGGCCATGCGGCCTTCCCAGACCCCACTTGCCCCACAGGCACCCCCAGGAGCGCCACCACCCACGCCTGCCTCGGCAGCTGCTTCTTCACAGAGCTGAAGACGGCACTAGAGGCTGCTGATGCTCGACGGGGTGAGCTGCAGAGCGTGGACGCCCATGGGCCAGCCCCTCCAGCACAGCAGCCGTCGGGGGGCAAGAGCGCTGGCTCGACACAAGCACCTCCAGGCCAGGGCGCTCGCAAAGAGCCGTGTCACCGCACAGGCACCAGGCCTGGCGGCCACTGGGAAAACCTAAGAGGCCTCTGCTGTCTGCCGCGCCCAGTGCTGGTGCTACTGGGCGACTTTGCGTGCTCGCTGACCACTTGGGTGCCCCCTGGGAAGACATCTCTTCAAGTCCTCTGTCCACCTGAGACGTCAGGTTACCGGCCTCTGCTGTCGGGAGTGTCAGAGCAGACACGGAGACAAGCGGGAGTGCGCAGGCACAGCGTCCTCGTGCTCCAGCGCCACAGGCGCCACCTCTGGCTCCCAATGGCCGGTGCTAGGCGGGGGGCTGTGCCATGGGTGGTGATGCCAGAGAGGCCACAACCAGGGACAGTCCCCATCAGCCACAGACAGGGCTTCACGTGTGGCCAGGCCCAAGAGCCAGGACACACAGGGCCGGGGCGCAGAGTCCTCTGCCTCAGTCCCCGCAGAGCTGGTTGGGGCTCCTGCTCCCTGCAGGGCGATCTGGGACCTCGGACATCACGTGGCTTGTGGCCTGTGGCATTAACATCTCAGGGGGAAAAGCTGCCCTGGGAGACGCAGCAGCCTGGTCTCAGCGGCGGGGGCGGGGCAGGACGCGGTGTCAGGAGGCAGCGCAGCACTGGGGCAGGACAGAGAAACACCACCCACACTGCACAGAGGCAGTGGGCAGCAGCTACTCACCATCCGCCAGCCGAGAAGGGAGCAGCAGGCCTCTTCTGCCCAGTTCCGCCAGCGCCAGGCACCCACCGTGCCAGGCGTTGTCTGTCTCCTGGAAGCTGAGGGCACAGGGAACCTGAGACGGCAGCACCAGCCGCCCTGCAGCAGGTCCCCAAGTCTACACTGTCACACCTGGCTTTGCTACCGGGTGCCCGCCAAGGAGATGGGTCCTGGGGGAGCTGGGGCCTGAGAGGGTCTCCCGAGAGGGTCTCCTGCCCCAGCCTGCACGCCAGCCACTGTGCGAGTCCTGGACTCACTTGGGGCGCTGACCCTCGACACATGGACTCGAGGCCACGGGCCCAGGCCGCCCACCCACGGCCGACAGCTGACTTCAGTGACGGAAGCAGGAGTCAGAAAGTCCAAAGTGGCATTTAGAGAATCCCTGGCACTGTTTGAAGTACAGACGTTAATAAATATCTGTGACGCCAGCTAGTCAGCCATAATATAATTTTACTTCAACAAAAACTCCAAAGCGGTTTGGGAGGTGGGTCTGGCGACAGAACCGGCAGCTCCTCCCCCTTGGTCCCCAAAGCCAAGGAAACTACGGGGCTCTTTACTGCGTTGATAAGTCAACGTGATGCCAGGAAATGCTCAGGAAACCGCCTGGACAGCTCTCCCTGCGGGCGCAGGGCTCCAGGCCGGTGTGTAGCAGGCGGGTGCCGCTCTGAAAGAGCCAGCTCTGGACCGACCCTGAGGGGACGACCGTGCAGGCCCTCTCACGTCTGCCCCAAACTTCAGTGTGGGCGCCCAGTGTCCCCCAGGGCTGTGACTGGGAGAAGATGCTTGCGCTTTTCAGAGACACAGTAACGTCTGAGACAGACATGCAACCCCACCCTCACGGAGACCCACGTGGACGCTGTGTGCCAGTGGCCGCAGGTCAGCTGTTTGACAGGCGGGTCCGTGCAGGCCCAGCGGCTCGCAAGGGCCCAGAGGCCCACAAGAGCCCAGAGGTTGTGGCCACCGAGGGCAGGTGGGTGATCAGGGAGCGGGAAAGGGACCCTTCGCCTGCATCAGTGGCCCTTGAAAGACCCAGGAGAATCGGGGAGGGGGCTCAGGGGCCAGGATGGGGCTGGGGGGTGGGGGCTCTCACTGTCTTCCCTTCCATCTGACGCCAGGAGGAGGCACCTACGTGCAACTCCCAAGGGGCCAGCACTGCTCCGGGGCCTGGTCGCTAACGGGCTCACTCGGCCGCCCAGACAGGCCCTCTGCTCTCTGGACCCAGGACCGGGGGTGCCAGTGCCATCAGCCACCACCAGAGAGGAGCTCCGGGAACACCAGGCCCTGTGCTGCCGGCACCCATCCTTGGCCAGGTGTACCCGCAGAGCAGCAGGGCCCCCGCATCAGCTCTGGTCCTGAGGCAAGGCTGGCACCACAGCCCCCAGCTGCCAAGGTAACCATCAACTGGGCCTGAGCAGGCCATTCATGGCATTCACAATTCACGCACACCAGTGTGCCCAGGCGGACGCACATCTCCACAGCAGTGCAGCCTGAGGGACGTGGCACCAGCAGGCCCAGAACACCGAGCAGTGTGTGCTCAGACTCAGGACACAGACCCCAGAGCCGGGGCACTGCTGACACGGCCACACGCCACCCAGGAGCCTGGCCCCCGCACACTCACACCCCACCCCACACACGTATGCCCAGGAGCTCATGCGCCCCGCATACTCACACCCCCAGCACACTCACGCCCAGGAGCTCATATCCCCAGCACACTCACACACACCCCACTCCACTCCCGGCACACCCACCCCCAGCACACGCACGCTCACGTGCCAGAGAACCAGCGTTTTGAACGAGGAACGCCTGCCTCTCATCTCCTCACCTACCTGAAACAATCCAACACGGACCCAACCACGTCGTCCGCCAGCTCTCTGGGAAGCCTTCCCGCCATCCTGCCAATTCTGGGAAAGGGAAGGAAACGCCCGGCACCATCAGGACCACCCGCACGCCTGGATGTGCAGGGGAAGGGCCACAAGCCTTCCCACCGGGGCGGCAGGAGAGGGAGGCCGACGTGGCCAGCCCCCGGGGTTCTGCGCCCACCCTCAGGGAGCCCCTCACACTGGCACTGTCCAGAGGCTGAGGACCACGCGGGGTGCAGCAGCCCAGGGCAGGCAGCACCTCACCAGCAAGGCACCAGCTGTCAGCCTGGACCTGCCGCCCCTCTTGCGTGGGGCCACCTTGCTAGCATGCTGGATGCCGCCTGCTGGAACGTGTGTGTGGTCGGGCCCTACCCATGGCAGGTCCTGCCCTAGCACCTCCGGGAAGGGCCCCCCGCAGCCTATCCCACGCCAAACAGACATTTGGGCTCAGGGCCTGCGACCACTGAAACAAAAACAAACCCCCACTGGGTGCCTGCAGCCCTGCTGGCCTCTCTGAGGCAACGCACAGAAGCCCAAATCCAAGCTGAGGCCCGTGCACCACCCTGCCCCACAAACGCAGGTCTCATGGACGCTGGGGTGCTGCTCCACCCCTGAGCCCAGAGCCTGCCCGTGGGCCTCGCAAGACCGCAAGCTCCACGGCCACCACCCAGGTGACCGAGGGGCCTCTTGGGGCCCAGGTGACGGCTCTGTGGCACCTGCATGCCAGGCCTGGCTGTAGGCAGGGAGGGCCGTGGTGATGGGGACGTGGGGCCAGGGAGGCAAATCTAGCATTTTCCTGCGACAGCAGGAAGAAGATGGAGGCACGGACGCCAGACTGGGCACGGCCTCCGGAGCATCCAGCGCAGACGCCTCCTGAAGGCCGCCCTGCATGGGGCAGCAGGCGATGGAGCGGGGCCCGGCTGGCACCTACCCTTTGGCTGCAGACCACCGGACAATGGTGTCCTTGTCCTTCAGGCCAACCAGCAGCTGCTCTGGAAGAACACGGGGTGGGGGAAGCCTGAGCAGAGCCCCCAGCCGGGGCCGCTTCCCCGCCCACCCAACCCAGCCAGGGCCCTCCCCTGCCGCGCGCCCAGTCTCCCAGTCACTCCCCCTCAGCGGGAGGCCACGCACCTATCACACTCTCCACCTCTTCGGGCACGTTGTCCTCGTCATCCTTGCCATCATCGCTGCCGAGAGGCGGGGCCTGCACGGCCGGTGGGCTCTGATGCTGGGCCGGGAGCTGCAGGTTTGCAGCCAGCGAGCGGCAGCCACGCTGGTACCTGCAGGACAGACACAGCGGGTGGGTGGTCACGGCTCCCAGCTCGAGGGAGGACAGCCTCACCACAAGTCAGAACCGGTCTCCTCTGCAGGGACGGGGGCAGCCGGGCACGCGTGTGGGAAACGCCCGGCTCGAACGAGCTCAGAAGGGCTCGCGGGGGCCACGGCACGGCCTGACAGAGGCGGCACCAGCCACCCCCAACCGGGGACCAGCACTTGTGGGTAGCCTTGTGGGGCTGAGCCCTTCACCCGTGGGGGATGGTGCTATGTCCAAGGAGGACGGGCCTGAGCCCAACCTAGTCACAGGCGCGTGGCCAAGAGCTACGGGCATGGGTGGTGCTGTCCCCAGGCCCTGCAGCACCACCCACATGGGAGTGTGACCCCCCAGTGCCCAGTGGCCAGACGCCAGGCAAGCTGCTGTGACAACAGTGCAGTTGCCCTGCCTCGGCCTGTAGACCCCAACACAGAGTAGGCAGGTAGAGCCTCAGAGCGGGAGCCCCCCTGGGGGTCACCCTGGCCTGGCCTCACCCCTGACTTCAGGTACCCTCTGAAGTCAGCCCAGAAACAACAGGCAGAGGGCAGCCGCCTGGTGGGGCAGAGTGAAGCCCCGGCTAGGAGGGCTCGTAGGGGCAGACACTGGAGAAGGGAACCCTAAATTCTTCACAAAACCCACTGGCCCCTCAGGGGACCCCAAGGAAATGAGTCAGGCAAGACCCGGTGCCAGCTGAGAGCAGCTGGAGCAAGAGGGAAGCAGAGGCCACGATGCCAGGAGGCCCCAGGCGTGGAGGCAGGGGAGGAGCCTGAAGGGAGGTGCAAGGGGCTGAGGGAAGGGACACGGGTGTCCTTGGCCCGGCCGCACGAGGCCCACCTGAGACCAGGTGGGGACGGAGCCCAAGAGCCCTGGCCGGTGGGGGCTCATTCCCCCAGGGGAAGAGAGGAAACACCGGGCGCGAGGGCGGACAGCGGTGAGCAGCGACATAAAGGCGCGTGGAAGCAGACGGAACAAGCGCGAAGCTGAATTAGTCTCCTTCCCCGAAAATGCTCATGGGACGTATGGGGGCCTGTCAGCGTGTCAATCTGACTGGGTCAGACCAGACAGGAGGTCTACGCTGCTCGGCCGATCTGGGAGGATGTGGTGGGGGGGCAGCAGGCGGGACTGCGCAGGAAGACAGACTACCCCGTGCGCCATCCCCCGACCCACTGAGGCCTGGAAGAGCGCAGGCGACACCCCCACCCCGAGAGACAGGTTCTTCCTGCTTTCGCCTCCAACTGAAACGCCACTTCATCCTAGGCCTCGAGCCCGTGGCTTCACCCTAGAAAGACACAGCCGGTGCTCCCGGGCCAGCATGCCCACCACCCTCTTGATCTGAGCCAATCCCCGTCACTGTGGGCTAGCTCCACCCGCCCACAGCCTGGCACCTCGGGCGCCACCTGCCAGCATTCAGTCCCGAGCCACGCCGTGCGGGAGCCGCCCTCAGGCCTGTCCTTCAGAAGGTCCCATAATGAGACAAGGGCCAAGCTGGGCTTGACCAGATCATTCCTGCCCACACCACACACGCTAATGGCAGGAATAAAACTCAAGACTGTTAAGAACACACTAGGTCTGTCTCTGCAGCAAAAGCCACGACGCACCACGGCAGGCTGCCGGCGCGCTGCCTGCGGGCAGGCCCAAAGAGTTTTCTCTGGACGCGGCCGGGACAGCCCCGTGTTGCGGGCCAAGGCGAGCTTTGCCCACCGCCGGCCCTGATGAGCGGGGACGTGCTGCGCCCGAGGCACGGCACATGTGCGAGGACCGGCCTCCCTGCGACGGGCCGGCCGCCCTTCTTCCAGCCGAGGGCTGCAAGGAAGCCGCTCCTTTCAGATTCAGGAAGACTCCTGGGACTGGGAAAAACGTGAAAGCAGAACGCATTTTGTCCTCCCCCTTGAAGCCCTACTTGGTCTACCCACCTCCACTTGGCCACCCGGGGCTTCAGGAAGGTCAGGCCCAGTCGCTGCACGAGCTTCACCCCAAGTTTCCGAAGCAGAGTCTGGCTGCTGTCGGGGAGTCTGCACCCGTCCAGGCACTGGAGCACAGTGGCAGCTGCAACGACAGCAACGGGCTGGCATGCCCCGCACATCTGTGGCGGGCACTCATGCACAGCGAGCCCAGCCCAGGGCAGCAGGGCCCAGCTTCAGAGGCCCCTCGCCACGCCATTCACCAGCTTCCTCACTGGGAGGCAACTATCCTGAGGACGGCAGCATCCAGTGCGCAGGGACACACGGGCAGGTGTGGGCTGTGCACATTACGGGGAGGCACACATGGCCAGCAGCCTGGGCTGGGGGGCTGAGCTCAGGCCTGGCAGGGATGGGCGCTACACACAGGCAGTGGCACCGGGCCCTACACCACCAAGGCCATTAACTCACTGCGGTGAGCATCCAGGGGAAACTGAGTCAAGGAGCACATGGGCAACATCTCGTGTGAAAGGCGGGAGTGTGGGAATACAAGGCAAGTCATAAGAGCCTTCGGTGAGTTCCCAGAGGCTCCAAACAGCACAGAGCTGAGGGGCACAGTCAGGCCAGGTGGGCGTGTGGGCGGGGGCATGGGGGGCCATGCGGGGCTGCGCCCCTCTCCTGGGCCCTGTCCTTCAGACAGACATGCGGAAACATGCAGGCAGCACAACAGGATGTATGAGGGGCAAAGAGAGGGTGACACAAGAGAGCGTGAATTCAAGCTGTGTCCATTATGAGTCTCTCTTCCTCTACGTGTGCTTGAAATTGTCCATAATTTAAAAAAAAAAAAAAAAAACTATTGAAGCCCGATTCATGTGTCTTCTAAAATACAGAAGTGGGGCCTCCCTGGTGGCGCAAAGGGTTAAGCACCGCACTAAGAAGCTGTCCTGGCCGGCCAGGGAGAAACCCACAGGGCGCAGCAGACCTCTCCTGTCTCCCCGCTGCTCCCCTCAGCAGCGGATTTCAGTAGATCTGCCTGTTCTGCTCCCCACTCTGTCTCTGGGGAGTCCTCTCACCCCCTGCACCTCTGGCCTGTGCCCCAGCTCTTGTACGCATAAATAAATAAATCTCTTTAAAAAATAAATAAATAAAATACAGAATCGTTGGGGCAGCCTGCACCCCAGACCCAGCCCAGACGCTGACAGGACCTTCGCCCAGGATGTGGGCACGGGCAAGTTGGCCAGGGCGGGCTCGGGTCTGAGAGGGTCAGCACAGCCTGTGGCCTGAACTCTGCACTGGCATCAGGGAGGCTCAGGGTGCATCCAGGGGCTGCTGGGAGGGGCAGAGCAGCGCAGCCATTGGGGAGGCCTTTCTCAAAGGTGTGACCTGGGGAGAGGACTTATTTCCATAAACTGAGGTTTAATCTAAACAGTATGTTTCAGTGGATCTGTCTGTTCTGTTCCCCTCTCCCTAGTGAATCTTCTCACCCCCTGCACCTCTGGCTTGCACCCCAGCTCTTGTATGCAAAAATAAATAAATCTTTATAAACAAGTAGATAAACAAACTAATTAATTAATTAAAAGAATGAGGCCAAAGAGCGGGAGAGGCGCCGTGGCCAGGCAAGAGCAGGCTTCAGCGGCAGCCCCGGGACACAGGGGAGCCTGGGAGTGTGTCCATGGCACTGAGACCCTGGGACCAAGGCCCAGCAGCAGGGCGGGAGCCCAGCGCGCCCCCTCCCCAACAAAGCCAACAGCCAGTGGCCAAAGGTGCGTGCACGCACAGAGCAAGACACTGACGTTCTGTGATCACATCCACACAGTGAGCCACAGATTTTTGTGCCCCCGAATGAAGCGCACAAAGGAGCATGTGAAAGAGACACACTTGGTCACACCCACATCACAACACACCTTACAAATAAACTTACCGTAGGGCAAACAGTCTTCACGTTTTCCGTGCTTAAATATTTGTGCCTAAAAAAGAAAAAATGAGTATGCTGCTAGCACATTACAAATTGTAAACCTAAGTTATCCAAACAGTTCGTGTGTTTCCAGGATTTTTATTCTAAATGCCACCAAATAGGAAGAGACCAGTTTCGAAACCAGATACAGGAATTAAAAGAGACTGGGACAGAATCTTCTGGAAGCACGTGCTCACCCCCAACGGGGACACCCCGACGGAAGGGCAGAGGCGTGGCCACGGCAAAGTGGCCACAAGGAAGCCAAGGCCTGAGCCCTGGAAGAAGAGACTGAGGACCTCCCTAAGCCTGCAGTGTCCCGCGTGTTTGAGCGTCACGGGCAGGAGCGGCAGAACTGTGTGGCCCAAGGCGAAGCCCCAGAGGTGCCTTTGGAGTCGCCTCCACGTGCAGCCACCTGCTCACAGCTCAGGGCAGCAGCCAGGGGTGCCCAGCCAGGCATCTCCTGACCTGCTGGCCCCATCCCAGAGCCCCGTAACCAGCGACCACCCGACTCGCGTCCCCGGGAGGCCCAGACTTGGGCTCACCCCGCTGTTACACCCGGAAGACAAAGCAGGCGGGCATCCTCAGGCCTCGCCGACAGAGCAAAGCGCACGCGAGAAAGGGGTGTCTTCCCTCCAAAGGCGCAGGGGCAAGGGAGGGTGCGTCCACTCTGGTCACCTGCAGCCGCCTGGGCCGGCCCAACACGTGCCGGCTGGCAAGACCAGGCAAGAGATGCCCAGCCCTGGGAAAGGGGCCCCCGTCCCCGTTGGCGGCACCACGCACAGGCACCCGGAGTCAGCAGGAGGGTGGTGGACACTGAGGCACACGGGAGAGCCAGGGCAGGCACGGCGGGGAGCTGCCGCACGCTCAGGAGAGCCTTGCAGCCGCCTCCCGCGCCTCCGCCGGGGCCGGGGCCGGACACTCGCACTCTTCACTCTCTCCCTCATCTTCTCCCCCACCAGCCCCACTCCCACACCGTGACCCTGCCAGCCCATGGGGGGCCTGCAGCGCGCTCATCTCCTCACCCCCGAGCGCCCCCAGCCCTGGAACCACAGAAAGGCGGCCCCCACCACCGCGCCAGGTGCTCATGAACGGCAAGAGGGTGCCTCCGCCATCGGTTTTACACAGGCCCAGCTCCCGCCAAGGACTCCCAAGGAGGCAGGCGGGGGCGCCCCACCCTGCAGCAGCTGGTGAGCCCGGGCCCCCAAGCCGAGATGGCCCAGCCGCTCCTTCCCACTCCAGCAGCAAGTGGGCGGCTTGCCAGGCCCGGGAAGAGCCAGGCAGGGCCGGCGCCGCCATGACGCACCCCGAGTGGCTCGACCGTCTCATCGAGCGCGGAGTGAGAGTGCAATGGTGTGGAAAGGGTGGGCCCTGGCTCCCGCCTGACCCACTGCCATCAGGCAACTGGGTTCTTCCAACCCAAGAACCTGCCCCGCGCGCACCCACTTGTGTCCGTGCCAGGTAGGAGTGACGGAGCCACACGGCCGGTCCTGTCGGGGTCAAAGCTACGTGGCAGAGAAGCAGCAGGAAGGCGGCTTTGGGGCCAGAGGAAGCGGCGCCGGGCTGGCAGGGGCACACACTGGCTTGCGGGCCAGCTCTGCGGGCCAGGCACCTGGGCAGACAGAAGGGGTGCGGACACCACCCCGGCCCGCAGTCCCACGGAGGCTGCCACCGCGCCCGCGCCGGCCCAGGCCCTGCCAAGCGGCTCGGATGCGGCGAGTGGTGGTGGTGGCGGCGCCCTGACTCCTCCACCGGCCCAACTCGCCCACCTCACCCCGCAGCAGGCGTCTGGCTGCTTCACACAAGGCAGGCAACGCCACCCTCCGCGGAGCGACCACGTGCTCCTCACACTCGGCCCAAGGGCCACCCCCTCTGCCACCGGGCACCAGGGCCTCACAAGACCAGGAGTGAAATCCCCACTTGGAACCAGGGCCCGAGGGTCCCCTGCAGGAGAGCGCTGTGAGGGTCCTGCCCTCGGGCTGACCGCACGGCGGGGACACAGACGGGCAGCCCGGCCCGGTGTCCTTCACCCCGGCATACCCAGAGGGCTGAGCCCCACAGAATCCCAAAAACGCTCTCCACGTGCACATTCTTTATTCCTCACAAAGAGAACGTGAGAGAAGAGAGAACAGAGCCGGCGAGTGTCAGGAGGGGGCTCCGCGCTCCCCTAACTGTGGGCCTCCGTGAGGCCCCGGCAGCTCCACCCCACCCAACCCGCTGAGCTCCGGCTCCCGCTGTGAGACCCCACAGTCCCAGGCCCGGCAGGAGGGCGCGGCCACCTGGGACCCTTGGAGAGGGCCCGAGGGAGGGAAGGAAGTGGCACGCGGGGACCGGGCTCTTGAGTCTGGGGGCTCTCACTCCTGAGCACGAAGACAGAGGGCGGGAGAGGCCGCGCCCCCTGCAGACACGCTGTCAGCTGCACCATCAGTCACACAAACGCCGCCCTAAGCTGGGGCGGGAGCCGGCAGCCTGTTTTTGTTGTTCTAGAAACCAGCCCGGTGCCCAGTGCCAACAAAACCAGTCTCGGGAGGGCGCGCCCCCTCCACCGCGCCCACCCAGCCTCAGCCTCCCTGCCCGGGGCCGTCAGCTGTGGGGGCCAGTCCACCCTGCTGGCAAGCGGGGCGGGGGGGGGGGGGAGGTCAGGGCTCCCTGACGACACCAGGTCAAGGCTGAGAAAAGCAGCTCGACCGGCCCTGGGTGTTGCTCACCCCGACCCCTACCCTCTCCACAGGCTGGTGTGGGGTCCGCCCCCGCCCCCAGGAGGATCTGCAGGGATCGTGGCCCCCCCAGCAGCCGTGCTGCTCCCTCCGCGTCCTGTGTCCGGCCGGGTGCTGAGAGGAAGCACCAGGTACCCCCCAGAGGGCAGGACCCGAGAGCCCACACGGAGACCCAGGGAGACGCCGCTCAGGAACCCACAGCCTGCTGGGCCCAGGAAGCACCTCGCGGCCATGCTCCCACTCCACCCAGGCCGCCAGCAGGCTGCACAGGGCACCCCCTCACACGAGCAGGCCTCAGGGCCTCCACCTCCCCACGCAGCAGCAACTGACACCGGACAGGAAGCCCAGGACAGCGAGACAAGCGGGCTGAGGGGGCCGGCAGCGAGCCCCATGCCAGGCCTGGGGGGCAAGGACCTCTGTCCCGATGCTGCGGCTCCAGGGGCCGTGCCACAGAACCTGGGGTCACCCACCGCCGGGGTCGGTGGGTCTGCAGGCAGAGACACGCAGCCGGGCCACCCACAGGGGGACCTGCAGCCCCCAGCTGGGGCCTCAACCGGGCCTCCCCCCACAGGGAGGGCCGGCACCGCACGCGGGAGCAGGAAGCACAGGGGCCGGTCTCGCCCTGAAACTCATAGCGGCAGCCCCGCCCGAGCCCCGCGAGCTTCTCCCGCCGCAGGCTGAGGTTCAGGTTCGGAGGAAGCGGCCGTCCCCGCCCAGGAGCACCAGAGGGACTGACACACGTCCCCCGCGAGCCGACAGCTGACCTAGAGACGCCAGGCACCGGGGCCATGGGGACCTACGTCCCGGGGGGCGTCCCCAGCTGAGGGGCCGGGGACTAGGCGTGGAGAGGGGATCGCACCGCTCTGCACACGGACGTCAGGCCCAGAGCTCAGTGGCACCAACCTGGCTCCCGGCCCAGGGAAGGAAAGCAGGAGCAGAGGCCAAGGCGGGTGGTGCAGGCAGCCCGCGCTATGGGAAGGGCAGGCGGCCGACCCCTGGGAACCCTGGGCAGGGTGGGAGCTGGGAGGCCCCGTGGCCTGCGCCAGCAGAGGAGCCACCAACTGGGACCAGGGAGGGCGCGGGCCACATGGCCCCTCGCCGGGCTCCTGCCACACAGTCCCGCCAGCCCCACAGAAGCGCTGAGCCAGAGCCGCCGCCCTCATGACTTCGGGCTCCAAGGACAAGGAGGAAGCGCGCCTGAGTGACCCCAAGGCCCACACGCCTGGGGCTGCGCAGCGTGGCTCCACCCGCGCCCCGCCCCAGGCGAGCGCCAGGCTAAAGCCCCAGCCTGGGGAGTCTGTCCTCGGTAGCACCAAGCCCAAGGAGCAGAGACGGCAGAGCCTGGGGAGACCTGCTACACCCTCAGGCGGCTCCTCTGCTCCTCTGAGCACCCAGCACACGCGAGGGGCCTCACGCACCCTCTGAGGGGTGGCTCGGCCAGCTGCCAGGGCACAGGGGCTCCCACAGGGGCTCCCGAGGGCAGCAGGCCCTGCCTGGGGTGAGGACGGCCGGGACCCGGGCCGGGCCGCCCCCACCTCTCCCGAGGTGCGCGCAGCACCGGGACGTTCTGCTGAGGAAGACAGCTGCTTTGGTCAGTGAGAAAATTACGGAACTTCGCGGCAGCGGGTGGGCAGGGAGCCGCCCTCTCGGAGAGCAGCAGCATCCAGGGCCTGAGGACGCCGGGGTCGCGAGGGGAGCAGAGACTGGCCAAAGGGCCCCGCAGCCTGGGGGCTTCCACCCTCCAGCTGGCCCTGCCCACGGGACTAACAAAGGGCTCCTCAGCGGGCACTGCCAGGAGTGGCTGCCAAACACTGGCTCCCTCCCACAGGGCTGAGGTCACCGGGAGGGAGCCCTGGCAGGGAGCGGGCGGCCCCAGTTTCGACGGTGCTTGTCAGGTTCACCTGTTTCGCCGAGCGCGCACTAATGAGCAGGTGGATGGAAAGGCAGCCAAGTGCATCAAAGGCGACGTGCACGTCTCGTCACGCAGCGGCCACCTCCCCTTCAGGTCTGACGGGCTGTGGCGAAACCAGCTCCGCTCCCGCGCCCAGGGCCCAGCCCACCTCCCCCGCCGGTGGCAGCAGCATCAATTAGGCCAAACGGCTCTTCAAAACAGAGAAGGAAACAGCCCGAGTCCCAGAACAGGCCTGCAGAGGCGGCGGGAGGACGTGGGAGCAGGAGGCGGCCTCGCCCCGCGGCCCTGGCCCACTGCGGGTGGGCAAAGCCAGGGCCGCCGAGCCCAGGCAGGGGTGGCCCTTCCTCCCGCTCTGCCAACAATGGCGGCTCCTCTGTGGCCAAACCTTTCTATTCCACAGGAAAAAGAGAGACCAGGCCGGGGACAGAACTTGGAGATGAGGGAGGAAGCCCTTCCTGCCCCTGGCTGGTGGGCGGAGGGAGCGGGGCCGCAGCCAGCAAGTGTGTCCCGCTGAGGGAGGGCAGGCAGAAAACTGGCGAGAAGCCCAGAGGAGAGGGAAACAGCTTGTAAGAAGGGACCTGTGGCAAGTCAACTGCAGAGCTGCCCCACCGTGGCTGGCCTTCCCTCCTCAAGGCCGAGGCACCCGAGGCCTTGCACCCAAGGGGACCGCTCTCTGGCAGCTGAGGGACGGCCATCTCCCGCCCAGGCTGGGCCATGCGGCCTCTAGGACCCGACTGGCCCCAGCCCCTGGCCAAGGCGCCGACTGACCTGCGGGCTGCCCTGCAGGGCAGAGCAATAGCCCAGGAGGGCGGCTGCGGCCGCATTGCTGGATACCAGGAAGCCTGTCGAGAAGGCGGACTTCCAAGTGGACTGGGATGGTCTGAGGCGGGAACCCAGCCCCAGAGGCAGCAGGGCAGAGGACGCAGGCCCCGGCAGGGCTTCCTCCACCTCCGGGACCCAGGCTGCCCAGTGCGCAGAGCCCACTCACACCCAGACCTTCAAACAAACCCTCGCACCCGCCCCCACCTCCCGGAGCCCGGGGCCGACCGTGCTCAGCCCATCGGGCACCCTGCCCCGACCCCATCAGAGCAAGCCAGCCCAAAGTCCCAGGAGGTCCGTCCACACGGCGGGAAGAGAGCCCCCCAGGCACAGACGGCCACCCCACCGTCCTGCATACCCATGCGGCCGGGGAACATCTTAAAGGCCTCAGAGATGCAGAAAAACACATCGTTAAACTTTTTTTAAAAAACTACTGTTACCCAAGGAAACTGAAAATCTATGCCCACGCGAAAACACACCGGCCAATTCAGACGAGCACCGTTCACAACGGGACACCCCTCCCCAGCGCGGGGTGCCACACCGGCTCTGGCCGGGCCAGACGTGAGGTCGGGGCAGCAGCTCCACATCGTCACGGGAAAGGCCAGGACAGGCGCAAGGCGCTGAGCGCGGGGCCGGGGCAGGGGGCGCTACGGGACAGGGCTCCTGGGGGCAGCGCGGACACTCCGCCATGCGGGAACAGTGACGCGAACAGCCCCGTGTTTGTGCAGAATCCCCCTGAACGACGCCCTTTAGCCGCGAACGCCACGGCCGTGAAGTCTGCCTTTTGAAAGCACCGCCTGACACCCGTTTACAGAATGGGAGGAAGCACAGAAAAAAGTTATGACCTGAACAGAAAACAGGAATTCAGGAAATGTTTATTTTTCAGGCTCTTCTTCCCCTCCTCACCTGAACCACAGCCCTTCGAGATGGCAAAGGCAACACGAAAGGGAAACAGGTGATTCGGGGCAGGGCCCTTCCGAGAGGGCCCCGGGCCGCTCAGCCCCAGTGCGCGGGCCCCCTCCTGGGGCCCACAGCGCCCGCCTCATCAGAGCCTGCACGGGCAGAGGGCAGGCGAGGACGGCACTGAGGGGACGCTCAGGCGCGCTGAGAGACAGCCCTGGAGCCCTGTTCTCGGCAAGTGGCTGCGGGCCCAAGAGCACCAGATAGGATGAGGAGCAAGTGTGCCCCCTGCAGGTGAGGAGCAGGAAGGTGCCAGGGCCAGGATGCCCAGGGGCAGGGGGCTCAGAGCTGCTGGCTTGAGGGAGGGGGTACTGACAGGTGACCCACAACCAAGCTTCACGGCCTGGCAGCCTGCCCCCTTCCGCAGCCTCCTCACCCTCCCGTTAGCATTAGAAAGGGCAATGCCACATGGCAGCAGCACAGGCTACCCAGAGCGGGAGGTTGGCACCTCCCACATCCAGTGGGGGGTCTTGCCTGTGTTTGCCACCAGGGCTAGAAACGCCCTGGCCTGAGCCCCTGGACAAAGCCAGACTCAGGCACCTGCCCACTCCACGTGGGCTCCAGTCACCATCCTCCGTGAGGCAGGGCGGGTGGGGAGCCAGAGGTGGACGTGCCCCTGCCTGCCCAGCCACTCCAGGCTCAGCAGGCACCACTGCCCCCTGGCGGCCACTCGGCTGACATCAGGGCAGGCCCGCAGACGCACGGTCCAGAGCAGGGAAAACAGACACGGTGCAGCGCCAGGCAGGTTTGGGGCATGCTACCAGGCCAGCTGCCAAAAATGGACGCAAAAGCCAATGGCATGTCCACCGGTCCCTGCACCCACAAGCTGACCACTGAACACCTGACCACTGAACACCTGACCACCTGCACACACAAGCTGACCACTCCCCGGGGCAATGCTTACCAGGGCCTGCAGCGTCCCGTCCATAGCAATGACCCCCTCAATAGTCTGGAAAGAGGAGCGGGCCAGGGTGCACAGGCTCCAGTCCAGGAAACTCGCCATCTTCTTCTGCTTGACGTCCGGCCGCGTGACAAACCTGTCGGAGGAAGCAAGGGCAGGTGACGGCTCCACAGAGGCCCTGGCCCCACCAGCCTCCACGCCAGGCACCTGTGCTCTGCGCTTTGAGGCACACCTGCTTCCCTGTGCTGTTGTCCCCCCAACACACATTACGGCACCCCAGGAAGCTCCTGGTGCTCCTCGCTACCCCTCCCACCCTGCCGCCCACAGCGAGGCCCGCTGCAGAGCAGCCCACCCACCTCTCCCCACCTCGTGGCCCCCTGCTATACAGCCCCACACCCCAGGCTCAGCCCCACCCTGGGGAGGGCTCAGGACCAACACCCTGGAAACACCCTATGTAGGGTACAGTAAAAAAGTATCAGGCTTTTCTGTCCTCCCGCTTTTCTGCCTTCCACGGACGATGGAACTCAGTAGACCTGAATGCATGCCTGATGGCGGGCACCTGGGGTAAAGGTGGGTGTGAGTAAGTGGGTACACCTGGGCTAAAGCTGGGCTTATAAAGGCGGCATCACGGGGACACTAGCAGAATGGAACAGCAGAGCGAAAGGAGCAGAGAACAAGGCCACAAGAGAACACCAGAAGGAGTGAAGGTTTGCTGGGGGCTGGGAGGCCTGCCAGCCTGGCACCCCTGCCTGCCGTGTACCTGGTAAACCCCAATAAAAGACTGCAAAAGCCACCGAGGGCTCCAGGACTCCTCCTTCACCCGTCTGCTCGAATCATAGGAAACCTGTCCTGTGGCCCATCCCCCTGCGACACCCTATTTCAAGGTGACTCGGCCCACTATGGCCTCCAGCTCCCCGGAGCAGCACACGGCACCCCTGCGGACCCTTCGCCCCAGCCCCAGTGCCCGGCCCCTCGCCTCTTCAGGCTGCGGATCTCAGGCAGGCCGCCTGTTAGACTTTATACAGTGTAGATGTCCACGTGAGGAGAAAAGTTTCTAGAGCTGTCCTCCTGGCTGCCCCATGACCCGAGCCTCTGAGGGGTCGGGAGACCACGAGCTCAACCGCACTTCAGGGTGCTGGTCGTAAAGGGACCCCGAGCCCTCCCCAGGACCTCAGCGGATGTTGTAAGAGGACCCAGGAATTTCACTGAAAATCTGCATTCCGCTGTCTGCGGTGAGGACTCAGCATGGAGAGCGCCCCACCCACACCCTTGTTTACAACCCTGCCCGCGGGCCGAGGGCAACACCTGCAGAGCCCAACCTGAAGAGCCTGACCCCCAGCCCAGGCAACCCGGAGGCACCAGGGAGCAGCCCCAGACTCCTGCAGGAGGGGCCACACTCCCCATGGTGCGGCTCCAGGGAGGCCCCCACGTCCCAGAGCAGCACATGGTGGGGCATTACAGCAGGGAGCAGTACACGGGGTGCTACACACAGGGGAAGGGGGGCAGCACAGGGCACAAGGCTGTGCCTACCCTCCCCGAACAAAACCACACAAGGTGAGTTTCCAAATTAAGGTAAAAATCCTAAGATTGCTCTGAAAGATTTAAGGAAATAAGTTACTTTGTACTTTTGTGTCCTTTCATTAAAAAAAAAAAAAAAAATACATGCTCACAGACGTGTTCACAAGCCAGCAGAAATGGGCCCCACCACCGCCTTCCCTTGGGGAGCCCATCTCCCGTGCAGGCTAGCCTGCTGCCTCTCATGGGCGTCCGCAGACTCGGGCAGAGAGCCCCGGAGCCAGGCACCAGGAGCTTCCACAGCAGCCGCAGGGCCTTGCCCAGGCCAGTGCGGACGGCAGGTCTGAGACATGGCGGCGCAGCAGGGAGACAAAGCACCATCCCAGAGCTGGATGGGGACAGCGGCGCGAAATGGCAGCAGGCGAGAAGCTGGGCTCCCCGCACGCACAACCAGCCTCACCCAAACAGAGACCACGGTCCTGAGCGGCACCCGGGTGGCCGGTGCATGCACAGAGAGCATAGCCGGGGCGGGGGGGGGGGGCGGGGGGAGGCAGGAAACCCCGAGGGGTCCTCAGCCTCTGTTGCCCCAAGGGCATGCTCCCACCAGGGCTCTGGACCAGCACCTGACAGAAGGAGGTGTGCAGGGCACGAGAGCACAGCTGAGAACCCAGGAGCAGGGTGCAGGCAGAGGAGGCCATGGCCCCCCAGACCAGACAGCTGGAGCGCACGCCTAGGGGTGTCTGATGAGCCCCTGCACCTGCTGTTGGCTGTGGCTGTGACCTGCAGAACATCTGCCTTACACCACCCTGGAGCTTAACAGGAGCGAGCACCCCAGGACTGGGGTCCCCAAGGAAAGGCAGTGACGACACTGCAGGCCCGTGGCTCTGTCGCAACCATGATCCTGTCTAGCGCTGATCTGCTTTTCAATCACAGCCCGGAGGTTGAAATCGGCGCGAGACTGAGGGACACATTTCAGCGGAGGAGCTGGCCTAGGGAAGGGCTGCAGGATCCCCACCGCGCCGCACACCAGGCACCCATAGCACAGCAGGGCGCTGGAACCCTGGATCGTCACTTAGAGGAGGCCTCTCAGTGCCCCGGTACCCTGGCTCCACCTACTACCCCTCGCTGGCACAGAGCCCAGGCCATCTGAACAGGTGCAGACTCCTAAGGGGCCTGGGTGGTCCCTTAAAAGCCATGACTCGGCCCAACTTCTTGTAGGAGGGGTTAGAGAAGAAAAAGAAGCTCCCGTTATCACTCATAAAAACTGAAAATGAAGAGAAAGAAGAACATTAACAAATGCTGGAGCAAAAGCAAACAAACCCAGACTCGTCTCAGGCCAGCAGCGCTACGGGATGCGCGAGGAGGAGCGTGAGGGAAGGGCCGCGGCAGCGGGGCTCGTCAGGCGACCAGAAGAACAGACCATGGAAAACGTAAACGCAGTATGGGCAAACAGTTAACAGAGCTAACTCTGCAGTGGAATTAAAAAATACAACATGGGGCCTCCCCGGTGGTGCAGCAGGTTGAGCGCCATGCTGTGAAGCTGTCCGCAGCCTCTGCAGTGCAGGTTCGATCCCAGCCGGCCGGCGAGGGTCCTCTCGCAGACCTCACCCTCCCGCGCATCTGGCCTGTACTCTGGTGCTTGTATAAAAATAAATAAATCTTTTTATTTTAAGATTTTTATTTATTTATTTATTTATACAAGCACCGGAGTACAGTCCAGATGCACGGGAGGGTGAGCGGATTCATCAGAGACAGAGCGGGGAACAGAACAGGCAGACTGACGAAGTACACTGCTGAGGGGAGCAGCGGGCGGCAGGAGAGGTCTGCGCGCCATGTGGGACCCTCCTCCGGTGGCCGGGGAGCAGCCGGGGATTGAACCGGCGCCGCAGAGGCCGCGGGCAGCTTCGCAACCCAGCGCTCAACCGCTGCGCCACCGGGGAGGCCCCCAAGAAAACCTATTAAAGAAATAACCGTTGGGAATCACCTCAATCCAGGAACTGAGCCGGGCATCCCGACCCAAGAGACCCAAAGGAATCAAAAACAAAGTGGCAGCACGCCAACAAAATCCAAGGCACGTTATAATTAAAATATGGAAAACCAAGGACAAGGAGCGAAGATTAAAAACTTGAAGCGTGAGGGCGAGCACCTGTCAGCGAATACCCACCCGCCGCAGACCTCTCAGTGCCAACCTCACGGCAGGCAGGGAGTGGCAGAGACAGCAAAGCCCACCGAGACAGAGGCCAGGACCAGGACACCGCCCCAGACAGCCACCCGGGCAGGGCAGGGTGAGGCACTTAGCTGAACACCAAAAGTAAAAGAGCCTGTCAGCACCGAGCTGCTGGTGAGGAGGCGTGAAGGGGGCAGCTGCCACCTGGAGGTGACGCGTCTGAATTACACCACGTTGGGAGGAGGGTGGCCCTCAGAGCTCGCTGGGAGCCAGGTCACCTGAAGGGCTACAGAATGGCCTCACACCCCACCTCAGCAGAGCCCGCAAACAGAAACTCAAGAGAGCACGTCAGGGAGCAGAAGCAGAACTTAAGCAAGCCTTAAAGGGAAGACCTCAGAAAATAAAAGCCACTTGAGAAGATCTCTCAAAATAAGTAAAAGAGGGCCTCCCTGGTGGCGCAGGCAGTTGAGCACCGCACTGTGAAGCTGTCGACAGCCTCTGCAGCATGGGTTCGATCCCAGCCGACCGGGGAGATACCCACATGGCGCGGCAGACCTCTCCTGTCATGCCCGCTGCTCCCCTCAGCAGTGTCTTCGGTCTGTCTGCCTATTCTGTTCCCCACTCTCTCTCTGGTGAACCGTCTCACCCTCCTGCACCTCTGGCCTGTGCACCAGCTCTTGCATGAATAAAATAAATCTTTAAAAATATATATTAAAAAAATAAGTAAAAGGGGCCTCCCTGGTGGCGCAGCGGTTGAGCACTGGGCTGCGAAGCTGCCCGTAGCCTCTGCAGCACCGGTTCGATATCTGGCTGCTCCCAGGCCACCGGAGGAGGGTCCCACATGGCGCGCAGACCTCTCCTGCCGCCCGCTGCTCCCCTCAGCAGTGTACTTCGGTCCTTCTGCCTGCTCTGCTCCCTGCTCTGGCTCTGGTGAATTCTCTCACCCTCCCGCGCTTCTGACTGTACCCAGTGCTTGTATAAATAAATAAATAAATAAATCTTAAAAAAAAAAAACAAACAAACAAAACCACAGGTTTATATAAAACCTCAATTCTTTAAAAAAAAAAAATAAGTAAAAGAGCAGGGAGTACCTGTATCTCAGTGCTCACCTTACATGCAGAGGGTGAGAATTCACAATCAAAGGTGCAGAGTGGCTGAGCAGCTCTCCAAACAATTTCTAACCCATGACTATCAGCAAGAAACCACGGCAGACACGCAACGACACAGAGCCAGAGGTCAGAAGACGGTCACACCAGCAAATGATGACTGGGACGGCTGTACTCACATCAGACAAAATAAGCTTCCAATTTAAAAAGGTAATAAGAGCCAGGGCTAGACATTACAATCAAGGGCCAAATGCAACAAGGAGATACATACATACACACCGAATGATAATATAGCGTCCCGAGATACAACAGCTGTTAGCAGAACTAAAAAATATTGACAGAACAATAATACCAGAGAATTTTAATACCCCACCCACAACTGTGGACAGAAGAAGAGAGAATAAATCCGGGCACAACAGCTTTGAGTGAGGCCCCACAGACGTCTACTGAGCAGCTCACCTGCACACACATGAAACACCTCCAAGAAAAGGCCACATGGGGGCCTCCCTGGTGGCGCAGTAGACTGAGCGCCGTGCTGTGAAGCTGTCTGCAGCCTCTGCAGTGGGGGTTTGATTCCCGGCCGGCCAGGGAGATTCCCACATGGCGCAGCAGACCTCTCCTGTCTCACCCGCTACTCCCCTCAGCAGTGTCTTCAGTCCGTCTGCCTGCTCTACTCCCCACGCTGTCTCTGGTGAATCCTCTCACCCTCCCGCACCTCTGACTGTACCCCAATTCTTGTATAAATAAATCTTTAAAAAAAAAAAAAAGAAAAGAAAAGGCCACATGTTGGGAACACAAGTCAATGTCAATCAAGTTGGGAAGGGTGAAATCACACCAAGTATTCTTTCTGACCCTAATGCCATAGGGCGAGAAATTAACTATTAAAAAGGGAAACTAGAAAAACCTTTAACATGTGGAGACTAAACATGCTGCTTAGCAGCTTCTGGATTAAAGAGAAAATTAAAGTAGAAATCAAAAATTACTTTGAGATTGATGAACCTGCAGATACAAGTGATCAAAATCTGTGACGCAGCAGAAGCAGCTTCGCGAGGGAAGACACCTGCCACGCGGGCCCACATTAAGAAGAACCCCAGGCCGACAACATACTGCCACACCTGAAGTACCTTGAAAAGAATAAACAAGACCTAAAGTTTGTAGAAAAAGGAAATAATAAAAATAAGAGTGGCAATAACGAAGATAATAAAGGACTATGGAAAGATCGAACAAATTGAAAGTTGAATAAAATTGACAAATCTCTAGCAAAGCTAACAAACAATATTAATAAACAATTACAAATGAAGAGGAAAACTTACCACAGATGGCAGAGAAATGCAGAGGATCATGAGATTACATGTACCACCAAACACCAATAAATTTGATAACCTTAAAGAAACAAATTTCTAGAACAACATAGTTTGCCAAGACTACACCAAAAAGAACCAGAACAACTGAATAAACCAATTACAATCCCGGAAATTGAAAAAGTAATCAAAAAGCTCCCTAAAAACAAAAGCCCTGGGCCTCCCCTGGTGGCGCAGCGGTTGAGCTCTGGGCTACGAAGCTGCCCACAGCCTCTGCAGCACCAGTTCAATCCCCGGCCGCCGGCGAGGGTCCCACATGGTGCGACAGACCTCTCCTGCCGTGCCTGCTGCTCCCCTCAGCAGTGTGTTTCCTCAGTCTGCCTGTTCTGTTCCCCGCTCTGTCTCTGGTGAATCTTCTCACCCCCATACCTCTGGCCTGTACCCCAGCTCTTGTGTGCATAAATAAATAAATCTGTAATCTGTTTAAAAAAAAAAAAAGCTCACGTCCAGACAGCTTTACAAATGAATTCTATCAAACCTTTAAAAAAGAACATGGGGCCTCCCCGGTGGCGCAGCAGATTGAGCGCCACACTGTGAAGGTGTCCGCAGCCTCTGCAGCGCTGGTTCGATTCCTAGCCAGCCACGGAGATTCCCACATAGCGCAGCAGACCTCTCCTGTCTCCCCGCTGCTTCCCTCAGCAGTGTATTTTGTCAGTCTGCCTGTTCTGTTCCCCGCTCTGTCTCTGGTGAATCCTCTCACCCTCCCGTGCATCTGTCCTACACCCCAGTTCTTGCACAAATAAGTAAAAATCTTTAAAAATAAATAAAAATAAAGAAGAATGTATGCCTATCTTGATCAAATTACTTGTGAAAATCCACAGAGGGAACACTCCCTAGGACAGCTTAGGCCAAAAGTACCCTAAAACCAAAACCAGACAAAGTCAGTACAGTACTCCTAGGAGAATCCTCAACCAGGCGTCAACAAATCAAACCAAACAACAAAAGGGCCACACCACGCATCTACCCAGGCACGCAGGTGCTTTAGCATGCGCAGTCAGGGACGTGTACAGGAACCGCAGGACATAAAGACAAAAAGCAGACGATTATAACAAGAGGCAGAGAACAGAGGGTCATGGAAAAAAGATAAACTTGCTGACCAGAGACCTGAGGCCTACAGCTGGGGAGGAGGAACAGGAAGGAGGGGCAGGCAGGAAAGGAGGCACTTGTGGGCCCTGGGGAAGAGCCCCGGTCTGCGCTGGGGAGCCACAGGCTACACCTGAGCATGACAGCAAATACTGCGGGGAAACGCACAACGATGTAGGAAAACAAAATTAATGTAAAAAAAAGAGATGCAGGGAAAGCCTCTGACAGGACTGAGCACCCGTTTATGAGAAAACTCAACAACGAGGAAAGAGGGGAACCTACCTCATCACGACAGCCAGGGACAGCCGGGTGACAGCACTCCGCGGCGGTGACACGCCAGGAGGCCGCCAGGGCCCCACCCGCCCAGCCGGAACCCAGACGGCACAGAGCGAGAACATGAGAGAAGCCCCTGGAAGTCAGCCACATGGCGAAGTGGCTGACGGAGGGTCGAAAGCCCGAAAAGCTCTTGCATTTTAATATACAAATAACAAGTGAGCGGAAAAAGAAATTGAGAAAATAATTCCATCCACCAGCGCATCAAAAAGAATCAAATACCTAGGAACTGACCTGCCGGGACGGTGAGGGGTTGACACAGTGAGGACTGAAAGACAAGAACGAACGCAGACCAGGATAGAGTGAGAAAGACAATCCGGGCCGTGAACAAAGCCTCAACACAGTGAGATGAACGGTGCACCGAAGCGACATACAAATTTGATTCAATCTCCATTAACACACCAGTGACGTTCTCCAAAGAACCAGAACAAAAAATATGAAGATTTCCGTGGAACCACAACAGGCGTGGAACAGCTGTGGCAACGCTGAGGGAAAGAAGATACGGGAGCATCTCGTCACCTGACGTGTACTGCAAAGTGACGAATTAGAAACACAGCCTTGGAGCAAAAATACACAGGAGCCAAGGGAACAGGATCAAGAGCTAGAAGTCAGTCCACACGCAGCCGACGCTCAGCTCACGCCAAGGAAGTCACAGGACACCACGGGAAAGAAGAGCCCACAGAAGTCGCTGGGGATCCGAGGCTCCGTGCAAAGAAGGGGTGGCTCACCTGACTCCAACCCAGCAAGTTCCAAATGGGTTAAAGACTTAGAAATAAGACCTGGAGTTAAGAAAATATAAAGAAAACTTTGGTGATACGTTTCACGACCTCAATGATAAAGACGTTTCTGCAGACAGGACCTCCATGGCAAGGGACATAAAAAATAAATCATGTGATCGCAGCCAAAGGAAAGGCAAGTGAGTGGACACCGCGCTGAGTGGGAGGAGACCGTCACACACCACGCAACCGACAAGGGATTACTATCCAAGATACACGACCACCATGATCAACTGAACAATCACGAGCCCAGTTCCTGGGTGAGCAGCAGGACTGGACAGAGCTCAGGCTCAAGGCCCAGAGGCCGACACACAGAACGCGGGTGCTCGCGCTGAAGAAGGGAGACGCGGGCCAAGGCCGTGATGACGCACCTCGCCCCATAAGGAGGGCACACGTTAAAAAGTGGTGGGGTGGATGCCGACGAAGAGGAGCCCTGCTGCACGGCAGGCGGGACGTGACGCCCTCCCCCTGCTGACGCGGCCACTGCCGTCACCGGGGATCCCAGGACCTGGCAATGCTGGATGACACGGCAGCTCTCGGACGTCCATCCGACAGACACGCAACCGTCCGCTCAAAAACACATGCTCTAGACGCCCAGTGCAGCTGTCCTCACAACGGTCAGGATGGGGAGAGGCCTAAGCGCCCCCGCTAGAGGGGGTCAAGAGGACGTGTCCACCCACACAACGGACACTACTCAGCCGTAAGGAAAGACAGAATGCTGCCATTTATAGCAAAATGGGATGAATTCAAAGGCACGACGGGTAGGGAAGCAATCAAAATGACAAATACTTGATGTTTCTAAGCAGAAGATTCAACACAATGACAGACAGCAACCAGCAAACTCTAGAAAACAAAGTAAGGTTTCCACAGTTAGGACAAGGAGGGAGGCAGGAAAGGTCCAAGGGGATATAAGAGACGGAGTAAGGCAAAACTGTGAACGTTCTGTAAAATACATAGATTTCTTAATTTCCAGGGGCTACATAGGGAGACTGTGGCCTCATAATATTTCACATGTTCAAATCCTGTATTTCTAGGACTATAGCAAGATTTCTTTTTTACAGCATGGAGTGTAAATAAAATTTAACCTTGAGTTTTACAATAAAAAAAAATTACAAGTCAATAACAAGATATCTGGGAAGTCCCAGCATTTACAGAGAATTAAAGTAGTGAAATAGTCACAAAACAGTGCTAGAACAACTAGACACTTGTGGGGGTAAGGAGGGGGTATTGTGTACCTGACCCCAAAAGAAATCCCAAATGGATTAATATTTTGTATTAAACAATAGAAAGGTAGAAAAACACAAATGACTACTGGTAAGACCGCTTAATAGGGTAAGACTTCAAGCTTAAAAATAAAAATCACTAAATAAAAGGGGAAAACTGCCTTGACATTAGGTTAAAGAAGAAAGTCAAAAGCCACCTAGGGCCTGAGAGCATAACCCAACCACACCTGCACTGAGAGGCAGAGGGCAGGGGTCAGCGCCCCCCAGAGAATGGCAGCAGCACACCCCAGCAGGGACTGCCGGCAAAGTTCTCCCCACGCACGGCCACACCCCACAACGCCGCCAGAGGGCACTTACTTGGACACGAGGACAGCAGCTGCGTCTCGGGCCTTGTCACTGACAACCAAGTAGCACTGCAAGAAAGGGTGACGAGCAGGCCGTCAGATCAGGGACGTGCGTCCCCGCCAGCCCCACCCCCAGCAGCAACCCAAGAGTGCATCCTCACGATGCTCACAGGAGAGTTTGATCCCAGTCAGGGAGTGACCCCCCAGGGTGCATCAGCCCTCTCCTGTCTCCCCCCTGCCCCCTCAGCAGTGGGTTTCAGTGGATCCGCCTCTTCTGCTCCCCACTCTGTCTCTGGTGAGTCCTCTCCCCCGCCCCCAGCACCTCTGGCCTGCACCCCCGCTCTTCGATGCATAAGTAAATACATAAATCTTAAAAACAAAAAGGACACCTTTATTTTCCCTTATTGCCCCAGAAACCTCTCATGCATCATGATTATAACAGAGCATCTGTATAACCTACAAAGAAAGGAATCCCAGCCGGTGGCTGGTTGCTGGCACAGTCACATTTACCTCAGCTATCTGGAGGATGCGGTCCATTATGGACATTCGCGTCTGTCCAGGCTGGGCGATGAGGTTCCCATCAAGGCGTGAGAAGTCGAAAGGGATCAGGCAGGTGACAGAGAGCCAGAGCAACAGCATGTAGCGGGTCTCCCAAGTCTAAGGAATGAAAGACAAAGGACTCTGAGGTAGGACAGAGCTGACCAGCCGCCTCACAGAGCTGCTGACTTGCAGTCACTCAGCACCCAGGTGGGAGTTGGGGAGCAGGCCCTCCTCACCCACCTCACACCCCCTCTCCAAAGGACTGAGCTACCTCGGTCGACAAAAGAACAGCAAAGTGGACCAAGGAGAGCAATCACAGCAGTGCCAGGCTGCCCACTAGCTCCCTGCGGCATGCAACCAGCCTTCCGAGAAGGTTGGAAAGCAGATAAAGAGCTAAGTAGGAAAACAGAGGACTTCAGAACAAAGACACTTCCAGCCAAGGTGTGCCCTGCCTTTGAGCAGTCACTCCAAGATTCCAATTGGAGCCTGGATGGCCCTGGGCTGGAGAAGCCAGCAGCAGGGCTGGGCTCACCTGAAGGCTTCCCTAGGCCCGCGGTCACTCAGTGGCCAACCTGGGAATCTGGAACAGGAGCTCCGGGAGGAGCCCCCCACTCCCTAAGAGTGAGGGTGACTGAGTCTGTGCCCCAACTAGACTGGCCATGAGGTTTCTGCTGAGCGTGCCTTCCCACTGGAAGCAGGAGTTTTAGGGAGCTGCGCAGCACCCACATGAGCAGTCCCCAGGGAGAGACAGGCCCTGGCGCCCCACCTTTCCCAGAGATGACACTTCACACATGTCATCACAACTCAGCCAGGGCTGCAGGCACATGGCGGCGGGGGGGAGGGGGGGCACGGGGGGGGGGACACTCACCTCGTGGTCTTTAGGGCTCTGATTTGCAAACATGTCTAGAACAGGCTGGACGTCAGCTACTTCATGAGGAAACAGACGAAGAAATGTCTTGTAGCCTCGAACCTACCAGATAAAAAGACACTGCGTTATCTTATGCATAGAAAATAGAGAGCAGCAAAATTATTTTTTCCCTGCCTTCAGAAATCACCTGTGCCATCCAACGACCAAAGCGGACGCAGGCCGCAGCGGCAGATCTCAGAGAGAACAGCCGCGCTCTCCTCGCCTTGCGACTCGGCCACTAGACGTGCGTCCTACGCTTCTGCCCCCTGGGCTGGCAGGTCTCACCTGCGGCCCGTCAGAAACAGATGTGTCGCCAACGAGAAAGCCAACCTTCCTCTGCCCAAGCGCCACAGAGCTTGTAAGGTGCACCACACCACCCAGACCTTTCACTCCAGGGCCTGCAACACAACCTCCCCAGGACACACACCTGCATGCTGACTTGGAGCAGCGCCTCATTTCCCCTTGTAAGAAACTTTCCTGAATTAGAGCCCCCTCCCCACTCTCTTCCTCCCTCCCCTTCTACCTGGTGGTGCTGGGTCCACTCAAATACAAGATGCCAAACATCTTGGACACTTTTCAGCGAACCCTGGATCACTAACATGCGATGCCCACATATGATAAAAGAGCAGCAATGAAAGCCACGCTTGCTCCCGTGTAATGACAGCTGAGAAGGTGTCGCTGGGTCAAGGATATCAAAAAAAAGTATCTGTCGAGCATGAAATGCTACCTTGGTGATGATATACAGGAATTTAAAAGCCAGATGTACAAGGTCGGCTGGAGAGGTCTCATCCTGCACCAGACCCAACAGCAGGTTCATCATCCATTCTAGAAAAAAAATATGAAACGTCTGCTACAGAATTAAATGTCTATGATACTAAAATAAAATTCCAAAAGAAAAAAGGGTTTATTTAGAAATACAAGAGGGGTTCAACGTCAGCAAACCTCTGTCATCCAAGTACCAACAGAGCTAAAGAAAAAACATTCCGTCTTGGCAGTTTCTAAAGTGTATTAGTTAACACAATGTTCATTCTCTCTTTCAAAATGCAGAGGGGCCTCCCTGGTGGCACAGGGGCTAAAGACACAGCACTGTCAGGTTATCCACCAGTCTCTGCAGCACGAGTTCGATCGCCGGCTGGCCCCCAAGGTGCAGCAGACCTCTCCTGTCCCCCCACTGCTCCCCTCAGCAGTGGATTTCAGTGGATCCACGTGCTCTGCTCCCAACTCTGTCTCTGGGGAGTCCTCACCCCCACACCTCTGGCCTGCACCACAGCTCTTCTACACATAAATGAATCTTTAAAAAAAAAAAAAAAAGAGCTAGGAGGAAAGATCTAAAACGAAAAATTATGTAAATGGGGGGCCTCCCTGGTGGTGCAAGGGGTTGAGCACAGCCCCATGAGCTGTCTGCAGCCTCTGCAGCACAAGTTCGATCCCCCGGCCGGCCAGGGAGCAGCCCACATGGCACAGCAGACCTCTCCTGTCTCCCTGCTGCCCCCATCAGCCATGGATTTCAGTCAGTCTGCCTGTTCTGCTCTCACCCCCCACACCGCTGGCCTGTACCCCAGATCTCGTATGCATAAATAAATAAATCTTTAAAAAAAATTATGTAGGGCCTCCCCTGGTGGCGCAGGCGTTGAGAGCCACGCTGTGAAGCTGTCCACAGCCTCTGCAGCGCCGGTTCGATCCTGGCCAGCCAGGGAGGATGCCACATGGTGCGGCAGACCTCTCCTGGCTCACCCGCTGCTCCCCTCAGCAATGTATTTCGTCAGTCTGCCTGTTCTGTTCCCCGCTCTGTCTCTGGTGAATCCTCTCACCCTCCCGCGCATCCGGCCTGTACCCCAGTTCTTGTATAAATAAATAAATTTAGAAACTTTTTTTTTTTTTTATATACATGCACTGGGTACAGTCAGAAGCGCGGGAGGGTGAGAGAATTCACCAGAGCCAGAGCGGGGAGCAGAGCAGGCAGAAAGACCGAAGTACACTGCTGAGGGGAGCAACGGGCCAGGAGAGGTCTGCGCGCCAGCTGGTGGCCGGGGAGCAGCCGACCGGCGCCGCAGAGCAAACCCAGCGCTCAACCGCTGCGCCACCAGGGGAGGCCCTTGTATAAATAAATAAATCTTTTAAAAAAATGATGTAAATGGGATTAACAGCAAATCACACGCTGCCAGAGAACCGCACAGTAATAAAAGGTCCACACTGAGGCGGGGGCGGGGCGAGCGAGAGAAACCGACTGGCCCTCAGCTACACACAGGTCACATACATCAGCGTACGCGTGCAAGAGTCCTGGGGAGAGAGAGTGGCACAGGCAGAAAAAACATCTTAGAAATGGCCAAAGGTTTTCCAAATTTAAGAAAATTATTAACCCCTAATCCAAACGATTCGGCAAACTCCAAACAGGATAAACAGGAGGAAAACCATACCATGCACGCCATGACCAAACTGCTAAAAAGTCTGTGTGGGTGAGCAAGATGTATAAGGAAATCGCGAAAGCAGCTGGAGAAACAGCACCCCTCGCAGGCAGCGGCACAGAGACAAGGATGAAGACCGGAGAGCGGAAACAAAGCAGGCCCAGAACCGCACCCGCAACCTTTCCAAGATGAAATCGAAACAATCGAGCAAAAGCTGAACTCGTTCATTGCCAGCAAATCTACACTAAACGTCAAAATCCTTACAGCAGGGCCTCCCAGGTGGCGCAGCGGTTGAGCGCTGGGTTGCGAAGCTGCCCGCGGCCTCTGCGGCACCGGTTCGATCCCCGGCTGCTCCCCGGCCACCGAAGGAGGGTCCCACATGGCGCGCAGAGCTCCCCTCAGCAGTGTACTTCGGTCCTTCTGCCTGCTCTGCTCCCCGCTCTGGCTCTGGTGAATTCTCTCGCCCTCCAGGCTTCTGACTGTACCCAGTGCATGTATAAACCAAACAAACAAACAAATAGATAAATAAGACATGCCTCTAGGCAGAAAACACAGGTAGAAGGCAAAAAACAGAGGCAGGAGTGGTGAGCGCACGGATAAATACTGCAGATGTTTTCTCACTTTTTCTTTTTAAATGTTTTTTTTTTAATAGAGGCATGTTTTATTTATTTATTTGTTTGTTTGTTTGTTTTGTTTATACATGCACTGGGTACAGTCAGAAGCGCGGGAGGGCGAGAGAATTCACCAGAGCCAGAGCTTCGCAACCCAGCGCTCAACCGCTGCGCCACCGGGGAGGCCCTGTTTTCTCACTCTTAATTCCCGTGAAAGAAAGTGGGCGTTCACAGAGGAAGGCGCGCAGCAGCACACTTCAGGTCACAGAGCCGACGCCACCCCGGGGACGAAGACCCCGACGGGCTGACGCTGCGAACGCCCGCTGTGACGGCCCTGTGTGGGCTACGCGGACCCCCCAAACCCAGAGACAGAAAGCAGAGCGGTGGTGCCAGGGGCCGGGGAGAAGAGTGCGGCGTGAACACTGCTGGGGCTTCTTTCGGGATAAGATGTTCTTGAATCCGATGTGGGTGGTGGCTCGGCTCTGGGAGATACTGCAGGACACGGAAGCGTGCGCCCAACGGGGGTGAACGCTAGGGTGTGTAACGTCGGCCTCAACAAAGCTGCCATTTTCAGAAAAGTGTGTACACACCACTGCAGTGCTGCCAGCCACAAAATAAATCTTCACTGTACACCAGAAGGATCAGTCAGACGACAGAGCAAAGATCATTCCACAAAAGTAATAAAAGAGGCCTCCCCGGTGGCGCAGCGGGTTGAGCGCAGTGCTGTGGAGCTGTCCGCAGCCTCTGCAGTGCCGGTTCGATTCCCGGCCAGCCAGGGAGATTCCCACATGGTGCGGCAGACCTCTCCTGTCTCCCCGCTGCTCCCCTCAGCAGTGTTTTCGGTCCGTCTGCCTGTTCTGCTCTCCGCTCTGTCTCTGGTGAATCCTCTCACCCTCCCGCGCCTCTGGCCTGTACTCCAGTTCTTGTATAAATAAATAAATTGTTAAAAAAAAAAAAGCAATTGGGCCTCCCCGGTGGCGCAGCGGTTGAGCGCTGGGTTGTGAAGCTGCCCGCAGCCTCTGCAGCGCCGGTTCGATTCCCGGCTGCTCCCCGGCCACCAGAGGAGGGTCCCACATGGCGCGCAGACCTCTCCTGCCGCCCGCTGCTCCCCTCAGCAGTGTCCTTCGGTCCTTCTGCCTGCTCTGCTCCCCGCTCTGGCTCTGGTGAATTCTCTCACCCTCCCGCGCTTCTGACTGTACCCAGTGCATGTATAAACAAAAACAAATAAACAAACAAATAAATAAATAAAACATGCCTCTATAAAAAAAAAAAAAAAAAAAAAAGCAATAAAAGAGAAAGCACACTTCGAAATAAGCCAACAAAAATGTTTCCAGGAATCACCTAAGAAACTATTGAATTTCACTGAGAGACACAAAAAATCTGACTGGAAACACAATACCAGCCTTGTCAAGACCCCGAATGTCCCTACATGATTTTGTGAATTTCACAGAACCAACAGGACCTGCCAAGGCGTGGGTGTGATCAATGCTCCTGCAGCTCACCTGGGTCAATGCAACCAGGCCGAGACAGATACACGCGGCAGAGCAGAGCCGCCAGCATAAACCAAAACGACAAGGACGAAAGAGCGTGGAGGGGCCGAGGGCACCAGCCTAGACACCAAGGCCACGTACTCGAGGGCAGGTGCAGACCCGAAGGACCCCTCAAGCGGGGCGAGGGGGCGGGGGCAATGCGATTTACACACCCTCAGGAAAAACAAACTTCCGAACGGCCAAACCCAAAGGAAGAGACGGACCTGACAACGTGACCAGAACGCAGCACCCGTTCAGCAGCCGCACGTCGAGAGGCAGGCGCGAAGTCACGAGCTATGGCCAACAGAACAAGGGCCAGCACCCCATGATGTCCCTTTGCTAAGAGGGAGCTCTTCCCAGCTCATTTTAGGGTGAACCCCCCCAAACCCCTCAGACCACTCAGCGTTCTGCACAAGGGGCCCACGAGAGGCCTGAGGCTGCTCCCAGGGACAGAGCGTGACACACCCATGTTCGCTGAGGAGCTGCACTCCTAGGCGGGCCCACTGCGGCCCTGCAGGCGCTGAGCCCGGCCAGCCTCCTCAGAAGGGCGCCACCCTCCCGCAGCAGAGGCGCCTCCGCAGACCTGAGAACCATGTCCCCTGCAGCTGGCCCTCTCCCGGGTGGTCTCCAAGGGTCAGCTGGCCCTCAAGAGGGCTGCATGTTTTCCAGGAAGGACGATTCGGACGGAGTCCAGCTTCTGAGGATTTTTAAAGCAACTGCTTGAAAGAGCCCCTGAGAAGAATCTGTCCGCTTCCCGTCACCTTCACCTGAGGATCCGAACGGACGGTTCTGGTTCAGCCTTGGCTGGAACACCTACTAGCTGGTCATCTGTGGCCATCTGCCTGCCCTGCCTGGGCTGTGGTTTCATCTACACAGTGTTCAGAATAACTGACCTTCCATGCGTCGTGTGGGGCTGCCGTGACAGCCAATCTGTCTAAAAAGCCACTCGGGACAAGGCAAAAATATCAGAGTAAATGGATACAACAGGCAACTCGCAAAACAATCTGTGCAAATACAGCAGGAAATGCAGGAAAAAATCACCTTCACTTCAAAACCAACAAGCGCAAGACAAACCCACACGCGGCGCCCAGCGGCCTCCTAGGCAAACATCCGAACGCCCGGGCCCGTGGCTCGGAACCAGCCCGGGAGTGGGGAGCCCAGCTGGCCCCTCCGCGGCGACGCAGCCCAGCGGGCAAGGGCTGTCCTGGCCGGGCGCCGGCCCGCCCGCCACTGGGACCCCCGGGGCGGCACGGAGGGGAGGCCTTCCAGACAGCAGGCGGGTGGGGTGGGGGCGCCGGGCCCGCAGGCTGAGCCCCCCGGGGGGCTGGGCCGGGCAAGGGTCTGCGTGGCTGCAGTCCCCACGCCCGCGCTGGGGATCGAGCGCGAGTCGCGGGGCAGAACCTGCCGCGGAGCAGGCTTGGCCGCGTGGGCTCCGGGGAGCAGAGTCCCCAGGGAAACGCGTCCTGCGACAGCCTCAGGGGCAGAGACCCCCGCCAAGTCCGCCCTCGCGGCGGAGGCCCAGGCGGCCGCTCAGGGCAGCGCCAGCCGGGGGCGCGCGAGGGGGCTGGCGCGGCCACAGCAGCTCGAGGGGACCAGCACGCGGGACGGCGGCCCGGAGAGCGCTGGGGCCAGGACCGCAGGGGCGCGCAGGCCTCGGGAGCCGCTGGCAGGCAGCGGGCGGGGCCGGGGCCAAGAGGCGCGGGGTGACTCAGAAGGGGGTGCAGCCCGGACGCGCGCCCGCGAGGCGCCCCCAGCCACGGCCCGAGGCGAGCGCGCGCAGGGGGGCGGGGCCCCCGCGTCTCCCCACCGCCGCCGCACGTGCCGGCAGCAGCCGGGCTGGCTGGGCCGCCCCGCTCGCGCCGCGAGCCCCGCAAAGCACGGCGGCCACTCGCGCCGCGGCGGGCTCGGCGGCGCCCGACGCGTCCAGGCCCCGACGCTCAGGGCCGCCCCGGACGGCGCCGCTCTGGCCGCGGAGGGGCCCCGCCGGAAGCCCCCGCGGGGAAGGCCGGACGCGCGCGCTCCGGGGCCGGGGCCGGGGCCGCAGCCGGGGTCGGGGGAAAGGCCCCCAAGTGGCGGTGGGGGCCGGGGAGACGAGGGCGCCGCCCCCGCCCCGCCCCGCCCGGGGGCCTGTGGGCGAGCGGCGCCGCCGCCCGGGACGCCGCGGGCCGAGCGGGCCGGGGCCGCACAGGCGCCGGGCGAACTCCGCCCGCGAGGAGAGCCCCGGCGCCCCGCCCCGCGCCCCTTACCCAGGTCGGGGTCCAGCAGGTGCGGCTGCTCCTGGTACTTGTCCATCAGCGCTGCGGGGACACGGGCGTCAGCGCCGCCGCCCCGGCCCGCCCGGCCCGCCCGCCCGCCCGCCGCCCCGGCCCCGGCCCGCCGCGCGCACCCCGGAACCGCTCCAGGGCCCCCTCCCGGGCCGCGCGGTCCCCGCACGCCGCGCGCAGGCCGCCGAGCAGCTCGCGCGCCTCCGCGCTCTCGCCGAACGCCTCGAGGGCGCCGCCGCGGGCCAGCGCCTCGGCCTCCGCCTCGTCCTCCGGGGGCCCCGCGCCCGCGCCCAGGGCCATGCCGGAGAGGCGCGCTGAGGAGCCGGCGAGGCGCGCTGAGGAGCGGGCGAGGCGCGCTGAGGAGGAGCCGGCGAGGCGCGCTGAGGAGGAGCCGGCGAGGCGCGCTGAGGGAGGAGGCAGAGAAGCGCGCCCCTGGAGGCGGCAACCGCGCTGGCCCCGCCCCGTGACGGTCGGGCTCGGCACCGCCCACTACGGATCGCGCCGGCCGCCAAAAGAGCGCGCGCGGAGGGCGCCCCTGCGGAGCTCCGGAAGGGGACGCGGCGGGCCGAGGCCGGGTGGGGCGGGGCTGGGAGGTGCCCGAGGGCCTGAGCGGCGGGGGGTGGGGCGGGGCGGGATCTGAGAGGAGGCGTTAGAAGGACAGGGCAGGGGCGGGGTCTCAGCACGGGGCGGGGCCTGAGGCGGGAGCGGGGTCGATTCGGGGTGGGGCGAGGTCTGAGCCGGGGCGGGGCCTGAGGGTGGGGCGGGGTCTGAGGGTGGGACTCGGGGCGGGGTCTGAGGGCAGGGCGGGGCCTGAGAGGCGCGTGGGGCGGGGTCTGAGGGTTGGGCGGGGCCTGAGGCCGGGGCGGGGCCTGATGGTGGGATGGAGTCCGCGGGTTCTGAAACCTGGGCGCGGTTTGCAAACGGGGCGAGGCCCAAGGCGGGGTGTAAGTGCTGGGTGGGGCCTGATGGTGGGCGTGGTTTGAGCGCTGGGCGGAGCCTGAGGCGCCAAAGGTCCTGAGGATGGGGCGCGTTTTAAGGGAGGGGCTAGGCCCGAGGTTGGGCGGAGTCTGAGGGCCCTGCGAGTCGTGTGGGGCGGAGTCTGAGAGCTGGGCGTGGCCTAAGGGTAGGGCGGGGCCCGGGGCGGGGTTTGAGAGCTGGGCGGAGCCTGAGGTGAGGCGGGGTCTGAGGTGGGGCGGGGCCTATAGCAGGGGGCTAGGGCGGTGTGGGGCGGGGTCTGAGAGCTGGGCGGGGCCTGATGATGAGCGGAGTCTGCTGTCTGAGCTGGGAGGGGCCTGTGAGGGAGGGGCCTGACAGCTGGGCGGGGCCTGGCGGGGGCGGGGTCTGAAAGCGGTGGGGGGGGGCCTGGTGGTGGGCGAGGCCCTGGGCGGTGGAATTGAGGGGGTGGGGCAGGCCAGGAAGGAGGAGGCACCCCAGGCCCGCCCACCCCACCGCTGCTGCCTCCGAGGGGACCCCGCGAGCCCTACTCCTCCCGGGGCTGGGCCTCCTGCCCTGCGCAGCGGCTCCCTCCGCGTCGGAGGGGAGGCGGTCAGTGCTTGCCCTGGACGGCCCCGGACGGCCCCGGACGGCCCCGGACGGCCTCCAGAGGCGCAGCAGGCCCGCGGGCGCCGCTCGGGCTCTGGCCGCCCGCAGACCCGACAGCCGCGCTCCCGGGCGCCGCCACATTAGAGCCGGCGGTTCTGCCAGGGGCCTGGACACGCACCGGCCCTTCCCGCAGGCCCAAGATCGCGGCCGTCCGCGCCCAGCGAGGGCGCAGGCTGCAGGCCCCGGGCAGCGAAGGGCGGCTGTGTCGGCCGCGCCCAGCAGGGGTCCCGGGGGCAGCTCAGAAGTGGGGCCATCTGTGTCCCCAACCCTGCCTGAGCTACAAGAAGCCCCAGGGGTGGGGCAGGGCCCAGCACCAACTTCTGCCTTAGCAAAGCCCAGATTTGTGTTAATTTCCATACAAGTGTCCTTAAAGGCTCAGCTCCCCCCACCCACCCCCACCCTCAGGCCTGGGGACCCTGGCCCAGCAGTGAGCCCAGCTGCAGAGGACAGAGACAGGCGAGACCAGGCCAGGACCAGCCCTGAGGCCCTACCAGGCTTTATTATCCCCCTGTGGCTGCCCAGGTCACCTGCTGGACGCCGCCCTGGGCTGGCAGCTACTTGAGCAGCTTCCTCATGGTGCCCAGGGAGGGGCCCCGGTACGAAGACCCGAAGTGGTTCCAGTGGTTCAGGTAGTTAAAGAGCTGGTACAGCAGCAGCCGCTGGTCAAACCCTGGAGCCTTGGGGATCTTCCGGTGGTAGGCGGTGAAGAAGGACCGGGGAAAGCCCCCAAACATCCGGGCGATGGCCAGTTCAAACTCAGCATGGCCGTAGAAGGAAGCCGGGTCGTAAATAACGGGCCCTGTGTCATCCTCAGCCACGTTTCCGGACCAGAGGTCCCCATGGAGCAGGGCCGGGACGATCTCCAGGCCGCCAAACAGCTGGGGGATCTTCAGCTGGGAAGCAGTGGGCCCAGCAGGCGCCAGTCCTCAGCACCGGGAAGGCGGCCCACGTGGCCCAGGGGCCCCTCCCCACCGCAGGGCAGGGCCCACTGCTCAAAAGGGATGGGACTGCCACGCCAGCTTAGTCTGGACGCTTCAGGGCCCTCCGCACTGGGTCCTGGGGAGGGACTGCAGTCCGGCAGAGACACAGCTGCAGCGGTTTCTGTAACCAGCCGCCTTTCCCCACTACTCGCACTTCACCATCCCCATGCCCGCACCTCTGCCCTGCCCTGAGAGCTGTCTGGAGCTGGCCTCTGGGCCATCTGCCCCCATGTGCTCTAATGTGTGACGCAACCGTGTTGGGCAGGAAGAAGGGTAAGAGTGGACGGGACAGTCACAGGGAACTTCCGCAGCCAGGCAGCCCCCGCGCCACCCCAGCCGAAGCACCCTCAGGCCCACCTGTGAGGCCGCCGCGCTGCCATCCTGCACCCCGCCCTGCCAGCCGTGCCCACCTGCAGCCGTGACCACAGCTCCTGCGCCTCCCGGTCCCCGTAGTCCTTCTCAATGAGGTCAAGCTGCGCCTGCAGCCGGTGCCGGGTGAAGAAGGTGGCCCAGTCGTCCTGCCACTCGTTCACCTGGCCAGCGAGGGAAAGCAGCTTGCGTGTGGCCAGCTGACATAGCGACTGCTGGGGCCGGTCAGCGCGGGGAGACGCAACGTGGGAGAACGATTCATCCAACCGGGGGCGGGGGGGCGCTGGGGGACAGCACGAGCAGACTCGAAGGGCAAGGAGACAGACTCACACCGCCACACCAATAGCGCAGTGAGGGAGCGCGCTCTCAACTCAGCCCGAGCGACAGGCGTGGGCAGGCGGGGACAGGACGACAGAAGACGGCAAGAGAGGCGCTTAGTACAGAAGAACAAGCAAGTTGAAAAGCTGCTCCTCACAACCGGCAGTCCAGAGAAGACGGGGCGCAACACTGACATGGGCCACAGAGATCTCCAAGCAAAGCGCGTGGCGAGTGCAGCCATGGTGGCGCCAAGCCCTGGACTGTCAGGCGGCAACCGGGCACACAGACAGGGCCCACACCTGTCATCAGGCAGCCGGCTCTGGGGGCGCCACTTGACGCCCCAAACAGGGAACACTGAGTGTGGCAGGAGGCTGGCTCTGGGTGGGGGAGCAGGTGGCGGCCCGGGCAAGGCGCCTGTGAGCTACTGTTGCCCCGCCCGCCCCACCATGGCCACGCCCGCAGCTCATCCTGGCCGGTGAAACCCGCGTGGAGTCCGCTTGGGCAGAGACGCAGAGCGTATTTCATGCAGAGGGTCACTTTGTGAAGCTCCGTCAAGGGGAGCTTTTGAGAGAGCACAAGTCCCATGGTGGGACAGGACCCTCTCCTGACACAGGCCCCGGGTGATTCTTGCTCAGGGTGGCCAGGCCATAAAAGACACAGCTTGGGGGCCTCCCTGAGGGCACAGGCACAGGCCTCGGCACCAGCTCCAGCCACTGCAGCCTGAGTCCATCCCAGCCAAGGAGTGACCCACAGGGTGCAGCAGACCTCTCCTGTCTCCCTGCTGCTCCCTCAGCAGTGTGTTGCAGTGGATCCACCTGTTCTTCTCCCCACTCTCTCTCTGGGGAGTCCTCTCACCCCCACACCTCTGGCTGGCACCCCAGCTCTTATATACTTAAATAATAAATAAATAAATAAATAAATAAATAAATAAATAAATAAATCTTTTTAAAAAATGAAGACACAGCTTGAGCACTGGGAACAGGAGAGCAGAGCTGACCTGCCCCACCCCGCCACAGAGGGTGGTGACCCCACACCCACGCGAAGACAACCTGCCAAAGGTGGCACCACCTGGCTGCACAGCTGGTGGGAGCCTGAGACCTCAGCTTGCGGGGGCCAGGCCGGGCAGTGTGGCCCCTGACCTGGCCACCACTTGGCCTCTGTGAGCAGCCCCATCTACCACTGGGTCCTGACCTCGTCTGTGTGCGGGCGCCTCGGGCAAGTGTGGTGCTGAGCAGGGCAGAGCTCAGTGTACAGTGGGGCACACACAGAACCCCATGGGCTGAGAGCCCCCGAGGGCCCCCCCCAGGCAGCCTCTCAACCTTCCTCTGCCCTGGGGCTCACGGATGGTGTCATGGGCAGACGTGGGCAGGTGTCGCCCCCCTCTGGCCAGCTGCAGCTGACCAGGCTGGCTCAGGGGTGGCAGGGGCAGCCTGTGTATGTCCCTGGCAGACCAGCCCCGCTCTCACCCGCCTCACCCACTGGGTATGCATGCACTGCCATTCCCCTGCTCTGGAAAACGAGACAAGCCACTGTGCAAGGCCAGCCGAGTGTCCAGGTAGGAAGCAGGACAAGCCACGCCAGCGCGAGCAGGACCATAGCGCCTCCCGCGTTCTGAGCCAGCTCTTCACAGGGCTGGGTAGGAACCTCAGGGGTGAGGGCCCCTAAATCAGCGACACCTGCCCACATCTGCCCATGATGCCATCCTTGAGCCCCAGGGCAGAGGAAGGTTGAGAGGCTGCCTGGGGGGGGCCCTCGGGGGCTCTCAGCCCGTGGGGTTCTGTGTGCGCCCCACTGCACACTAAGCTCTGCCCTGCTCAGCACCACACTTGCCCGAGGCGCCCGCATACGGACGAGGTCAGGACCCGGTGGTAGATGGGGCTGCTCACAGAGGCCAAGTGGTGGCCAGGCAGATGTTGCCCAGGTGACCACTAACTGGAAAAACTGCCTCTGCCCACATAGGGAGGGACACCAAGGCCATTTTACAAATGCCCAGAACCAGAATGTCATGGGTGTTACCCCTCGATTGGGACAGGGAGTGGGGGACCAGGACTTAACCCCTTGCCCTCCTCCTTGGCCTTCGGACACATGTGGGCCCAGGCACCGGCCACCTACAGCCCCGGCCAGGCACGGGCAGGAGCAGCGAAGCAGGGACACCGTTGCGCTCACCTGCGGGATGAAGCCGCAGCACGTCCCCGTGTGGAAGCCAAACTTGGTCACATGCTGGGGCTCGGCCGGCCTTCCTGTGGAGAGGGGCAGGTCTTTCTGCTGTGGCCTGGGCTGCACTGCTAGAGTGGGGGTCCGGGAGGGAGCCACAGGGCCGAGGCGTCCCCCTCCCCGCTGGACACACCCACTCCCCACCAGACGCGCGCGCCCCTGCATGCAGGCGGTCCCCACCCGCAGCCCACACCCATCCCCCCGATCCCGGCTGCGGTAGGCGCGGAGGGGGGCCCCAGCCAAGGTACTAGCTTATCAGCTCCGTCAAAATTCACATTAACAATCTCGCTTTCACACGCCGTGCAAGAGGGGTGGGGTGCAAGTCACCCTGTCGGAGCATCCCGGAGCAGCAGTCCAGGCCGACCCCGCCGCGGGCACGGCGCTCCTGAGTGGACACAGCCCGGACGCACCCACGGTACTCGCCACCTCCTTCCGCTTCTCCCCCAGCCTCTGGTTGTGAAGGTGCAAATCTGCCATCTGTTCTCCGAGGACAGACGCCTGGCTGGGGACAGAAACAGGCCAGTGGGGTGAGAAGCAGCCGCTTGGCCTGTTTCGCTTTGCGATTTGCTGTCAGCGCCTGGAAACCGACTCGTTCTTCAGCGGAAAATGAAAGGCAAACTGCAGGCAATGGTCTTTGTGAAAACAAAACGGTGTGAAGGCCTGGCAGGGTCTGGAGTTCAGCCCCAAACACCACATTGACAGCCGGGAGACACCTGCTCCTGACTTTTGTAAGTGTGTCATAAGCCACACGAAAGAAAAAGGGAATCACAGGGGCCTCCCTGGTGGCGCAGGGGGTTGGGGTGCAACCTATGAAGCTGTCTGCATCCTCTGTAGCACAAGTTCAATCCCCAGCCTGCAAGGGAAAAACCCCCATGGTGCAGCAGACCCCTCCTGTCTCCCCGCTGCTTCCCGCAGCAGTGTGTCTCAGTGGAGCCGCCAGTTCTGTTCCCCACTCTGTCTCTGGGGAGTCCTCTCACCCTCCACGCCTCTGGCCTATACCCCAGCTCTTGTGTGCATAAATAAATAAACCCTGGGCCTCCCCTGGTGGCACAGGCGGTTGAACGCCACGCTGGGAAGCTGTCCGCAGCCTCTGCAGCGCTGGTTCAATCCCGGCCGGCCGGCGAGGGTCCCATATGGCATGGCAGACCTCTGCAGTCTCCCCGCTGCTCCCCTCTGCAGTGTATTTCATCCGTCTGCCTGTTCTGTTCCCCACTCTGTCTCTGGTGAATCCTCTCACCCTCCCGCGCCTCTGGCCTGTACCCCGGTTCTTGTATAAACAAATAAATAAATCTTTCAAAAATAAATAAATAAACCTTAAAAAAAAAAAGGGAATCTCGGCCAAACCCATAAAACCACAACTTTGTGGTTTCTGTGCATGCGCTTGTATTTCCTACTTTTTTTTTCTTTTACAGGAATGTACGTAACTTGGGGAACCAGGAAAAGCGGTACCTGAGCGCTCTCGGAAGTCCAGGGCCGCCTTGTTCTTCTGTGTCGTCTTGTTACCGTCACATCATTGTTGCTAAGGCGAGGGCGCACGGCACCCACTCACGCGCCGGCTCCACGCAGCAGCACAAACACCTCCCCGGGCCGCATGGGCCGGAGCGCGAGCGCCCCCCAAGAATGGCAGGGTCGTGGCTCTGCCTCTAGCGCCCCCCTTCCTGCCTCTCTCTCCATGTCCATCTCCCTCCCTCTCTCGTCTGCCCCCCACCGCCCCCACACACCTGCTCAGACTCCGCATCTTCAGATGCTCCATCACAAAGGCAGCCCCACCTCCAGGCACATCGATCAGTGCAATGGGCCGCGGCGCCCGCACCACCCCGGTGCTCCGAAGGGCCTCCAGGCTCGCCATCTCCCCCTCAAACATCTGCCGGGCCTGCGTCCAGGACACGTCCATGAGCCCCAAGCCAACGGGGCCTCTGTGGACAGGCTATGCTGTGGCTCGGAGTCCAGGCAGAAGCCACCGTGTGGCTGGAGCATGGCATTGGGCCTGGGGGTGGCCGCGGGGCGCCAGGATAGAAGGGCCCAGAGACTGAGGCCGGCTGGGGCTGGGAGCGGCAGGGGCTCCTGAGCAAGCACTGACTGTGAAGAGGGGGAGGTTCCAGAGGTACTGGGGTACAGAAGGTGCCATGGGGATGCCAGGGAGAACAGGGGGCTGCCATAATGCACATGGTTTCAGAAGGTGCGTGGAAATGCCTGGGGACATGGGGTGCAGGGGCACAGTGGGTGCTTCAGGGTGCCCTGGTGTGCCAGGCGTGCCTCAGCGTGCAGGTCAGTGAAGGGGCTGGCCTGCCCCCTTCCAGGTGACCCGCACACCTGGCAAAGGAGCAGCAGCCTGGCTCCAAGGACTGGGGCTCTTGGATGGGCAGGGAAGGTGGGGGCCGGGGCCTGGGCTGGGGAGGAGCCGAGCGCGGGTGCAGGAAGCAGGGGACGCCTGCACTGAGCCAGGGCCTTCTCATTTCTCGAGCTCCCCCCAAGCCCCCCAACACCCCAGAGGAGGACCCCCTTCCGCCCCCTGAGCGGCCACAGAGCTCCGGTTGGCTCTGCCGGGCGCGCACCCTGGCCAGGGGTGTCCTCAGCACCTGCTCTCGGCCGCGGCGCCCCAGGGCCCACAGAAATGACCCCCCACCGCCGCCCCGTGCAGGCTCATGCGTCACAGCAAGCAGGCCCCGGAGGCCGCCCGGGCCGCGTGACAGCCACGCCCCCCGGCAGCCGGGCCGGGGCCCCGCCGGCCCCGCGGGAGCAGCCGAGGCGCCCGGCCGGCCGGCGCGGGCAGAGGGCGCAGCGCGGGCCCCGGGGCTGCGCCGCGGGAGGAGCCGGTCCCCACCCCGGGACACCCCGCAGGCCGGCGCCCCCGCGCACCTGCGGCCTGCGGTTGACCTTGACGAACACGGGGCCGGCGTCCGTGTCGTAGGCGCGCCCCTCGCTGATGCAGCCGGCCGCGGGGCTCCCGAAGGCCCGCAGCGTCGCGGTGCGCAGCTCGGCGCGCAGCAGCTGCTCCATGGGGCGGGGGCGGGCGGGGGCGCGCGGCGGGGCGCGGAGGCGCGGGGTCCCGCCGGGGCTGTCCGCGCCGCGCAGGGCCGCTAGCGGGCGGCGGGCGGCCCAGCGCCGGGTCCAGCGGCCTGTCCCCTGGGGCGGGGTGACTGACGGGCGGAGCCAAGCTCCCGCCTGCGCCCGGCCCCGCGGCCCGCCCACTCCAGCCCCAGCTCCCCAGCTCCTGCGGCCCGCGCGTCCCCACAGAGAGAGGCGGGGAGGCCTGGGTGTCCACCAGGGGCCGGCAGGGGCGGGGCCTCCCCGCCGCATCCCTCAGCTGCTCCCTGCAGCCCCCAGGCCTGCCCTCCCTGCCAGGGGTTCCATGGCCCTGACCGCCCGGCACAGGCCCTTCCCGCAGGCAGCAGACACCCGACTCGCCCCGGGAGACACAGGCCAAGGACCCGCTGACCCGCTGACCCGCTGTATCTCGGGCTGCCCGGGCAAGGCGGGTCCGGGCCACCCCGGGCAACCGTTGCTGGCGTTGGTTTGCTCGTGGGCGCCTGGTGCTGGTCAGAGATAGAGGCTCCTCTTGGCTCTGACCCCAGGCGCTGCCCCACCCGGGTGGGCCTCCTGATTACAGAGCCCTGCACTGGGCTGGGCCAGGCTCCCACCCTGCTGGAGAGACCAGCCCATGTGAGTGGGCTCGCAGCCAGCCAGAGTGCGGGCCCCAGAGGCGCGCCGGGCAGCAGGCCCCGCATCTCTCAGGGGCCCGCAGCGGGCCCAGGTGTGCCGCCCAATGACACTGGCGCGGTCAGGAGGGCGCCATGGGCCTGCCCTGGCGGCCACTTGAGGACATGGCCTGCTGACCGGTGTCTGCCGGGGGTGGCCACGGGCAGGAGGAGGTCAGCAGGCAGCCTGGCATGGGAGGGACCCCAGACAGGGAGCCAGGGCCTGGCCCTGCCAAGGAACCTCCCGGGCTAACCTCCCCGGTTAAGATGAGGGGCCTGGGCTCAGGATACGCTTCCCTTGTTTCAGGGAACCTTTTCTGCCACAGCCTGCATAAATCCCAGGGCCAGAGCAAGTCGCCCAGTCTCTCTGGGCTTCCAGAGACAGGACCCCACAGGCCGCGCAGAGGCTGAGGCCTTTCTCGGTCAGGCCCCACCGTGGCCTCCCCTTCTGCCTGGCGGCCCGGGGGCCCGCGGTGCGGGAGAGGAGCCCGGCAGTGAGCCTGAACTCCCGGCCCACGCCTGGGTCCCAAGTCGGGTCTCGAGCTTCCGCCGCCCCGGCCTCTGCGCCTGCCTTCCAGCCCCGAGACGCTGAGGCTGGGCACGTGACCATCCGGGAGGCGTGCTCGGGGACAGCAGCCAGGCGCAGGGCCCGCCTTGCTGCTGCATCTGAGTGTCCCAAGGGCGCCGCCAGGGAACAGGCAGGCCCTCTCAGGGCGGAACTGGCCCCGGGGTCTGGCCACACCCTCTGCTCTGTCCCGTTAGTCCAGACCTTGGGTCTGAAGTGGGCTCCGAAGCCGCTGTGCTCAGGTGCCCAGGAACCTGGCCCTCCGCCCTCTCCCGGCACCGGGGTGACTGGTCTCACTGGCCGGAAGGCTCTGGAACCCTCAGTGTGCAGATGCAGACAGGAGGGCACCTGCTGGCCTGGCCACACCCTCCTGCTTCGTGGGGATCTCAGGCCAGCGCCCTGCACTGCAGACCCCTCCCACCGCACTGGTGTCCTGCCCCTGGCGCTTCCAGGACCAGACTGGGGCTCCAGGAGGCAGCCCAGGCCCCACTGGGAAGGAGCCCCGGGCGACGTGTCCCGAGGGAAACTGGGAGGGGTCTGGGAAGGACAGCCAGGACTGACGGGGCCACTGCAGGCCAGGACGCTCTGATCGCCGGCCACGCTCACTCCCCCTGCCCACTCTCAGGGCCTGAAAGGCTGCTCAGGAGGGAACCTGTCTCCTGGGGGGAACCTGTCTCCTGGGGGGGGGAACCTGCTCTCGGCAGCCACAGCTCCCCAGGGCACCCCGGGGGCGCCGGAGCATGAACTCCCACAGCCGGGCTGCCCGAGCCAGCCCTGCCCGGCCCTTTCCCGCTCTGGATTCGCTCCCTGGAAAGTCAAGCGAGCATCACTTTCAAGAAACCACGCAGGGCCTGTTTATTGTCACAGCGGGATCCAGAGGCGTCTGGCAAGCCGCAAAGCCCCACCTGGGGGTCAGCCTGAGCCCAGAAGGCTCATTCACCCTTCACACGGTTCCCTGGTGACGCACGGGCCGGTCGCTGCTCGTCTCTGCGAGGGCAGGGCAGGGGGAACACGGCATGGGGGTGTGGGGGTGTGGCATCGAGGGTAGAATCAAGGGACACAGCACTGGGGGGGCTTGGGGCACGGATGTTGGGTGGCAGGCGCAGGGGGTGCTAGGAAACCACAGACGCGCAGGGTTAGGGTTAGCAAAGGTGCCCAGGGATTGGTCCCTCCTGGAGCCCACGGCCAGGCTGCGTGGGCAGGACAGGTGGGGAGGGACGAGGAAGGGAAGGGCTCGGGCCTGGGCCCGGTCACGAGCAGGGCTCCCCTCAGCGGCGGCGTCCAGACCTCTGACCTAGAAGCATTGCCCTGGACGCCAGTCAACTCTGCAGACGCGGCGGGGTGGGCCTGGAAAGGTGCAGGGCAGCGGCGGCCCCGTGCAGCCCTTCTGAGATGTCACGCGCTCTGCAAGGCCTGGGCAGTCGGGCGAGGCGGCCGGGTGCGTGGAGAACCCGGAAGCCCCGGGGCAGGACTGCAGGGACGGTGGCTGCTGGAGCCCTCATTTGATGAGAGCTCCCGGAGCAGCTCATTTGATGAGGTTTCTCATGATGTTGAGGGAGGACCCTCTGTAGCCCGACCCAAAATGATTCCAGTGGTTCAGGTAGTGGAAGAGCTGATACAGCTGCAGGCGCTTCTCGAACCCAGGGGCCTTGGGGATTCGGGCGTGGTAGGCAGAGTAGAAGGAGCCGCTGAAGCCCCCAAACATGCCGGCGATCGCCAGCTCGTACTCTGAGTGGCCGTAGAAAGAGGCCGGGTCAAAGATGACGGGCCCAGAGGCGTCCTCAGCCACGTTTCCGGACCACAGGTCCCCATGGAGCAGGGCGGGGACGATGTCCAGGCCGCGGAACAGGCTGGGGATCTTCAGCTGCAGGGGAGACACAGCCTCAGCAGAGGGCTGGGCTCGCGGGAGCGGGCAGGTGCCCTCGGCGCGGCTCCCCCACCGGCGCAGAGTGGGGCGCCCGCACGTGGGCTCAGCAGGTGGGAGCCAACACCTGGGGTCCCCTGCAGCACGGGCGGGCGGGGCGGGGCTCCCTCACCTGCAGGGCGGCCCAGAGCTCCAGGGCCTCCCTGTCCCCAGACCCCTTCTCCACCATGTCTATCTGGGGCTGGATGCGCTGCCGGGCGTAGAATGCCACCCAGTCCTCCTGCCAGTCGTTGACCTGTGAGGGCGACAGCAGAGGGGCAGCCGAGCCCACGAAGACGCGGGCTGAGGGCAAGGCCAGTGGCCAGGCGGGCGGGGTGCAGAGCTGGGTGCTGGCCGGGCAGCAGGGCCGATGGGGCCCCTCCTCCAGCAAGAGCAAGCACAGCAGGCGCAGAGGCCATGCGCCTACATGTGCACACGCTGCGGTCCTGGGGAGGAGCGGCCCCCCAATGCCTGACGGAGCTGGGAGCCAGCGGGACCGGCCTAGCCAACTGCCGCTGCCATCGTCCCCCGCGCCCCGCCAGCACCCGGCGCCTGCCAGCCTGAGCGCTGCCCTCACAGGGGTGCTGGCCCGGTCTGGGGTCTCCGAGCTGAGAGCTACAGTCCCCACGTGACGGCTCTTAACGAAGGCCTTAAAAGTCCCGGCGGTTCCCACCAGACACCCAGCCTGCCAGTCCTCCCGTCGTGCTGAGCCCTGGCATGGGAGACGGGTAACTCTGGTTAGCTAAGAAAACAAACTAAGAAAAAATAAACTAGGAAAAATTAGCTGCGAAAAAAGGGAGCAGGCTTTCACCAACTTCAAAAGGGGGAGGGGTCTCCCCTGCTGAGGGGGGCCACCTGAAGTGCTGCGGGCGCCACGCACCTGGGGCAGGTATCCGCAGCAGGTCACCACGCTGAACCCAAACTGGTCCACGAAGGCCCGCTCCGCCTGGCCGCCGCCATGCCCTGGTGCAGTAAGAGAGAGCCCAGCGCTCCCCTCGGCCCTGCGCCCCCCCATGCCCGCGGCACGAGAGCCTGGGAGCCTGGGGAGCCTGCCTCGGGAGCCTGGGACATCCGCTGCTGCGGGAGGCACGGAGGGGGAAGTGTGGACAAAGCCAACCCATGTCCTGTGGGAGCGGGCAGCCCGAGGCTGGCCGCGCGCCTGAGCTGCGAGGGAGAGCCGCAGTGCTCCGAGAGGCCTCCCCTCCCAGATGCAAAGCAAACCCCGAAGAGGCACCAGGCCGGGAACTGCCCCCATCAGGGGCTGATAGGATCCAGCGGGCGCACCCCAAACCGCTTCCCCATGCCCAAGCCTGCAGCTCAGGGCCCACACACTTCTCCACCCAGCACACAGGCTGGGGCTGCCGCCACGCCGCCTCACACGCCGCCTGGCCCGTACCCACTGTGCCGGCCCCCTTCTGCAGCGCCTCCCCAAGCTTCTTGTTGTCCAGGTGGAGGTCCGCCAGCTGGCCTCCGAGCTGCGCAGCGTGTCTGTGAAATCAGGGAGCGGCTGGAGCGCGAGCCCGCACCGGCACGACGGGGGAGGTCAGGCGAGCGTGGGGTGGCAGGTGTGCGGGCGTCAGTCTTTCCCGGAGCAAGGGGAGGCGGGCCCCGCTAGGGGAAGGTCCTTAGCGCCTCCACCTGCGCTTGCGGCCGGTGGCACCTCCTCTCCCCTCCGAGGGCCCTTTGCCCTCGGCCTCTCTGCGGAGGACGTGACCTGTGGGCCCGGGCCCTGAGCTCGCACCCCTCGGAGTCGCAGGCTTCGGGCGGGAAGCGCCCGGGAAGGCCCCGCCGGGCGCCGCGCACCTGCTCAGCGGCCGCATGTCCAGGTGCTCCATCACCAGCGCGCAGCCGCCGCCCGGGGCGCCGAGCACCGCCAGGGGCCTGGGCACCCTCACCGTGCCCGTGTCCAGGATGGCGGTCAGCCCCGCCCTCTCCCCCTCGAACATTCTTCTGGCCTGTCCGGAAAACAAGGGGGGGCGGGGGGCGGGGGGCGGGGGGGTCACTCCCGCAGGCCGCGCAGAGGGCCCCGCCCGCCCGCCCGCCCGCCCGCCCGCCGGCCGGAGCCGCCCCGGGCCCGGGCCGCAGGCTCACGCCCGCCGCACAGCGCCGAGCACCGCGGCCCGTCTCGCAGCCCCGGGCGCGCCCCGCCCCGGCCTCCCCGGCCGCGGCCGCACAGGCCCGGGGGCCGCGAGCCGCGCGGAGGGGAAGGGCCCCGAGGCCGAGGCCGGCGCCGCCCGCCCGCCCGGCCCGCGCCCGACCTCCGCCCGGCCGTTCTCCTTCACGAACACGCGCCCGCGGTCCGTGTCGTAGCTGCGGCCCTGGCTGACGCAGCCGCCGCCCGCGTGGCCCGTGGCCCTGACGGAGCCGCAGCCCAGCTCGCGCCGCAGCAGCGCCTCCATGTTCCCGCCGCCGGGCGGGGCGGCGCGGGGCGGGGCCGGGCCGCGGGGGCGCGCGGGGGGGGGCGCGGGGCGGATCCGTCACGACGCGGGGCGGGGTCAGACGGACGCGCGGGAGCGGCGGCGCGGGGCGGGGCCGGGCCGCGGGGGCGCGCGGGGGGGGGCGCGGGGCGGATCCGTCACGACGCGGGGCGGGGTCAGACGGACGCGCGGGAGCGGCGGCGCGGGGCGGGGCCGGGCCGCGGGGGCGCGCGGGGGGGGGCGCGGGGCGGATCCGTCACGACGCGGGGCGGGGTCAGACGGACGCGCGGGAGCGGCGGCGCGGGGCGGGGCCGGGCCGCGGGGGCGCGCGGGGGTGGGGCGAGGGGCGGATCCGTCACGACGCGGGGCGGGGTCAGACGGACGCGCGGGAGCGGCGGCGCGGGGCGGGGCCGGGCCGCGGGGGCGCGCGGGGGGGGGCGCGGGGCGGATCCGTCACGACGCGGGGCGGGGTCAGACGGACGCGCGGGAGCGGCGGCGCGGGGCGGGGCCGGGCCGCGGGGGCGCGGGGGGGGGGCGAGGGGCGGATCCGTCACGACGCGGGGCGGGGTCAGACGGACGCGCGGGAGCGGCGGCGCGGGGCGGGGCCGGGCCGCGGGGGGCGCGCGGGGTGGGGCGCGGGGCGGATCCGTCACGACGCGGGGCGGGGTCAGACGGACGCGCGGGAGCGGCGGCGCGGGGCGGGGCCGGGCCGCGGGGGCGCGCGGGGGTGGGGCGCGGGGCGGATCCGTCACGACGCGGGGCGGGGTCAGACGGACGCGCGGGAGCGGCGGCGCGGGGCGGGGCCGGGCCGCGGGGGCGCGCGGGGGGGGCGGGGGCGGATCCGTCACGACGCGGGGCGGGGTCAGACGGACGCGCGGGAGCGGCGGCGCGGGGCGGGCCGGGCCGCGGGGGCGCGCGGGGGTGGGGCGCGGGGCGGATCCGTCACGACGCGGGGCGGGGTCAGACGGACGCGCGGGAGCGGCGGCGCGGGGCGGGGCCGGGCCGCGGGGGCGCGCGGGGGGGGGGGCGCGGGGCGGATCCGTCACGACGCGGGGCGGGGTCAGACGGACGCGCGGGAGCGGCGGCGCGGGGCGGGGCCGGGCCGCGGGGGCGCGCGGGGGGGGGGCGCGGGGCGGATCCGTCACGACGCGGGGCGGGGTCAGACGGACGCGCGGGAGCGGCGGCGCGGGGCGGGGCCGGGCCGCGGGGGCGCGCGGGGGGGGGGCGCGGGGCGGATCCGTCACGACGAGCGGCCCCCGGGCTGGCGGGGCGCCAGGGGCCGCGGGGCCGCGTCCCGGGTGGGGGCCGCGGCAGGGCGCGCAGGGCGCCCACGGGCAGGGCCCTCAGGCGAGCGGGCCGGGGGCGGGCGGACGCCGCGCCGCGAGACGCCGCTGAGGCGGGACGTGGGGAGACGCGGCCCGCGGACGCGCAGCGCGCGCCTGGAGAATGGCCGGCGCAGACTGACGTGGAACCACAACCCCCAGAGAGGGGTGCCCCGTGGCGGGAGACCCCGGCTCTGGGAAGGGCGCCCGGGCGCGGCTCTCGCGGGCGGGCGCCCGGCGTCTCAGGCAGAGACCGGCAGCGACTCCGCGCGCTGAGCTCGTTAAAAAGGAGAATTTCTGTCCCCAAGAGATCCGAAGAGAAGGCCAAGACCAGCCACCACGCGGACAAGACACTCTGTTCTCGGAACAGAAGGGAGCGGCCCCCAAATGTTTCCAAAAGTAAACGGAAGGGAGAGACCCAGAAATAACCCCAGGAATAGATACTCAGTATATTCACAGCAAAGGAGCCAGGACGATACAACGGGGAGAGAACAGTCTTTCAGCGAGTGGGCCTGGGGCCTGGACAGTCACATGCCACAAAATAAAACAGGGGGAAGAGACTGCCACTAGCTGGCAGCACAGACACCCGTTACCTCCAAGTAGATGAAGGACTTGAACGTAACACCGAAACCACAAAACTCTTGGAAGGAAACAGGCGGCCATCTCCTTAGCATCGGTCTTGGAGAGGGCTTTTGGGTTTTTTTTGAAGATTTATTTATGCACACGAGAGCAGGGGTACAGGCCAGAGGTGTGGGGGTGACAGGACTCCCCAGAGACAGAGTGGGGAGCAGAACAGGCAGACTGACTGGAATACACTGCTGAGGGGAGCAGCGGGGAGACAGGAGAGGTCTGCTGCGCCGTGTGGGTGGCTCCCTGGCGGGGGATCGAGCTCGTGCTGCAGGGGCTGCGGACAGCTTCACGGTGCTGAGACTAACCCCTGGGCCGCCGGGGAATCCCATGGTGAGGGCTTTTTGGATTATGACCAGAAATAAAGGCAACGAAGGCGAGAGGAAGAGCAGGACCCCGGTGGCGCAGGCAGGCAGGCACCACGGCAAGAACGTGCTCACAGCCAGCACGCGGAAGAGCTCACGCCCCTTAGCAGTAATGACACATGATCCAGCTAGAAATGGGCAGAGGAGTGGACGATTTTTCCAGAAGGGCAGCTGCCAGCGGATGGGAAAGAGGCCTGGCGGGTCAGAACCGTAAGCCCGCCTGCCGAGAGGACCCCGGCACCTGGGACAGGCGGTCAGCGTCAGCCTGGCCGTCCAGCTCAGCCTCCTGCTCCAGGCCAGCGGCCCTGCAGCAGGCACCGGCCGCAGCGTCTGAGGCAGACCTGTGGGGCAGTGCCTGCCCAGGCAAGCCAGCACAGACGGGCAGCCCTACCCTCAGAGGCCCGGGAGCAGTCGCCAGGTCCGATGCTGGGGCAGCGGCCTCTCTGTGCTGAGGACATCGGCAGTCAGAGAAAGGCCGGGCAGGCAGCCGTGAGGGTGCGCCTGGAGCCTCGCCAGGTGGCAGTCGGACACAGAAACACCCGGACGCCAGGTCCAGAGGCAGAAAGCAGGTCAGCGCCTGTGGGCAGGGCCTGCGGGGCACTAGCTGTGCGGTGGGCACATGGCTCCGGGTGCACACTGATTGCGGCTGGAGTTCTACAGAAACAAATCCTAACAGGCCAGGCTCGTCGCAGAAACAGGCGCAGCACTGGAGTCTCGTGTCTGAGAAGCCACAGGCAGGATGCCCACTGGGGCACCAGCCGCCCCCACCAGGGGCTACTGGCACTTAAGAATAACCCAAGCCTGGCAGCTGTGCCCTGCAGGGCACACCTCACAGCCCCTTGCTCAGATGCAGCGGCAATCAACCCGTCCCTGCCAAGCAGGCAGCCCTCCGGCGGCTCTGGAGACAGCAGCCCGAGATTGGGGTGCGGGTGGGCTCCCCAGGCTTCTGGGCGCCCCCGATCCCACAGACCTCTCCCTGTGCTGCCTCCCGGGTCCCCACCCCCCTCCAGGCCAGCAATCCCTTTGGTTCGGGACCCCGTGTGACCTCCCACACGTCCCTTAGGAGTTAGGGCTCAGCATGGGCTTTGGAGGACATGGTTCAGTTTCTGAGTTTAAGGACTTAAATCGGGGCACAGACACGACAGTCCAGCTTCACAGCAGGCCTAGCCGACGGGAGGCCAGCAGACCGCAGGGCACTCGCCCGAGGCAGGGGTGCAGGCTGCATGCCAGCCCCCACCTGCCAAGTAGGCGCTGCAAATCCTGCTCCTCAAGTGCACTCAGCTTGCACTTGAGGTGGGCGGGATAGCAAATGGATGTGAATGTTTCATCACAATTTAAAGATGAAACGGCCTCCCCGGTGGCACAGCTGGCTGAGCGCAGCGCTGTGAAGCTGTCTGCAGTCTGCAGTGCGGGTTCAATTTCCAGCCGGCCAGGGAGCTACCCACATGGCACTGCAGACCTCTCCTGTCTCCCCACTGCTTCCCTCAGCAGTCTTCAGTCTGTCTGCCTGTTCTGCTCCCCACGCTGTGTCTGGTGAATTCTCTCACCCTCCCACAGCTCTGGCCTGTACCCCAGTGCTTGTATAAATAAATAAATCTTTTTTTTTATTTTATTTTTATATTCCCCATAAAATTACAACCCCCTTATTTTGACCCCAATCCCTCCTTTCCCTGCCCCCCAACCCCCATAGAGTGTCTCTGGCTCATAGTTGTTTGTTGATTTTGGTATTTTCTTTCTTTTTTTTCAGATTTATTTATTTATACAAGCACTGGGTACAGTGAGAAGCGCGGGAGGGTGAGAGAATTCACCAGAGCCAGAGCGGGGAGCAGAGCAGGCAGAAGGACCGAAGGACACTGCTGAGGGGAGCAGCGGGCGGCAGGAGAGGTCTGCGCGCCATGCGGGACCTTCCTCCAGTGGCCGGGGAGCAGCCGGGGATCGAACCGGTGCTGCAGAGCCACTGGACAGCTTCACAACCCAGCGCTCAACCGCTGCGCCACCGGGGAGGCCCGATATTTTCGTTCTTATAGTTATTCTTTTTCCTGGTCCCTCATTAAAGTTTTCTAGATTCCTGCTATGAGTGAGACCAAAATAAATAAATCTTTTAAAAGACAAACTAAATCTCCGTATAGAATATACTCAAAAATTAAAAAAAAAAAAAAAAAAGATGAAAATAGCAATACCGGCGGAAAGCCCTCGGCCTGAGTCCGTTTCCTCAGAGGCAGGGGCAGACCCCCCTCAGGGTGGTTGTGAGGCCGCAGACAACCCCCAAGGACCCCCCCTCTGTCAACCACAGGCCTGGACCCCTCTGTCCCCACGTCCTGACGGCCCCACGCTCCTCACCCTTGTGTGGGGACACCCACCCATGCTGCAGGGCCCCCGCCAGGCCTGGCCCCAGCCCCGGCCACCACAGCCGTCTCCATGGTCATGCAAACAGATGCCGTGGGCTCCCCACATACAGCAGGAGGCAGGCTGAGCCCCAGAAAGATGCCTGGTGTGGGTGTTCCAAGGCCCCAGGTGGCACCTGTGGACTTCACCCCAGCCGCAGCCCACCCTGTGCCCTCCAGCTGAAGACTGACCAGCAGCGGGTGGGCACCCACTCGCTGGTCTCCCCAAAATAGACTGCTCTTGCCATCTTGGCACGTCTGCCGGACAGGGCGGGAAAGTGTGG